GCTTTTCGTTTTGCTCAGTGTCCTTTTTCTCCAATCCTTTTGGTCGAAGAATGAAAACTTAATCCATATATAGTTCACATATTTTGGTTTCTATGTACATATCCTGTTAGCACTTGAAAATAAAAGATTCAGTACAACGACGATGACGTAGATTAAGATTGCTCATTTACGTTTGAGCGAGTAGGATTCGAGTCACGAAAATAGTTTCTTTCGAAATCTCATATATAAATCAAAGTCTCTAACTCATAGCAATCTAAATATTTAGATATTGTTTTCGAATCTAACTCGATTTTTTAAAGAAATATACTATCATCGTTAACTACTTAGGTTTCTAAATTTGAATCTAACTCATCGTAGATTTATTTTATAGTTCACATATTTTGGTTCTATGTATTAGCACTTGAAAATAAAACTATGGTGTAGGTTAAGATTGCTCATTTAGTGAGTAGGATTCGAGTCACGAAAATAGTTTCTTTCGAAATCTCATATATAAATCAAGCCTCTATATTATATCCGATCTCTAACCCATAGCAATCTAAATATTTAGATATTGATTTCGAATCCGAGTCAAATTTTTTAAGAAATATCAAAATTTAATTTAAGTGAGTCAAGAAGAATATGTTTCCTAATAAGATTTATGACTACTATCATTCTTAACCATAGCTAATCATTTGATGAACTTTATAAATTATAATAATTTATTTCTTTAATTTTTATCTAAAAAAATTAGAAGATGTCAACTATCTTTGCTGATAAGTCTTAGAAATCAAATTTCACCTCCACCCCTACCCAATTTTTCTGTTCAAATTCTCTCAAACTTAGCACACCAACTTCGGTCTCTTTGCCATTTAATGAAGCCAATCATCATAAGTGATGTTTCATACGTAGATCGTTGAATTAGAGGAAGAGGAACGCACAACAAAGATGATTGCCAACGGAGGAAGGAATGTCCCCATGGATGAACTCGATCAGATGTTGGTGGATGCGATCTTAAATTCATGCAGATGCGACCATTTATTCTTTTACGGAAGCATTTATGCTTAAGGTTTGGGAGTTCGAATTCTTAGATTTTGGATGCTACGTTCGTTGTTACCTCCTTGAGGATATAAATGGAGCATCAATGCGAAGTTGTACGAGAGTAAGTAGAGGAGACCAAACTGATATCTTTATTGTGAATTTTAGGATTAATCCTAATCAAGTTTGATCATCAAATCTTTGTGAAATTGATCCAACTTAGCCAGTTTTCCGAGTTTTGTTACGTTCGTAAGAGTATTCATAACTTGAACGAAGGATAAATCCTCTCGAAGGTAAAATAAGTTGATAGCAATATTTAGAACATGAATGAAAGAGAAATCCTCTTGAAGGTAAAATACGTTCGTAGCTCGTATCCCTCGTCTCACTTTAGTTCGAGGACGAAAGATACTTATATCATGTATCAAGCTTATTACAAAAGATTACATCAAAGATTTATTTAGTAAAATCTCCTAATTGTCAAGTCAGTATATATTCATAAATCATCAATTTAACAAGCGAATATATTCTTTCAATACTCAATCGATGTGATATGTCCAATAAATTTTTAATTATCTCTTAAGTTGATGAGGCATCCTAATAATAAGCATTAATCGGATTCCACTTGTCGAAAACAATGACCGTATCACTATCCAATCCAAAAATAAAAACTACTTCGATATCAAAATAATCTTAGTTAAACCTCAAGAAAGACCTTAATTGATGATTGTTATTTAACAATGGACATACAACTTGAAATTTTATCTAATCCAAAGCAACTTTCCACTGACATATATGTAAAAAAAAGGAATGAAAATGAAAGTAATATATTGTCAATTCCAAACGAGATGATTTATTTATATTAAATGTAAATAAAACATCTAAACATAAATGGGTTCGGTGGATTCGACTATCAAATCTATTGCCATCCCTTAATCTCGGAGTGGTAAATGACATGGCTACAGTAAAGCTGTTCTTTTTCTCCACAGAAATATTCATTTTTCGAGTTGAAAGAAGTTTCTTTTACGTTATAAAAAGAAAGAAATTAAAAGACCATGCAGAAAATTCAAAAAATAAGAACTAAATAATACATGTTTTCTGGCAAAGAACCCAAGCAAAAGAAATTACTGTTCCTGTCGACTATAACAGTACCATCTTGCAGTGCCGAGAGGGAGTAGTGCCATATTAATAGTGAATTTTATGGTGACACATACGGGGAATTTAATGCATTCATTCAATGATTTCATCCATTTATTTAATGGCATGACTCGGAGAAGCATTTCTTGGGAAGCAAAACTAAAGAAATCTTGATTATTATTGGTTTTCATTTATGCATATAAGACGATGCTATGGTGGTGGTGGTGTCAATTAAGAGTATAAGCTTCATACAGATTTATGTTAATCCACCACTTATTATTCTCAAGTTTTTTTTTTTGGTTTTTGCGAGGGACACGATTTTTTTTCTTCTCTTTTTTCCCCCTTTTTAGATGATTTTTCTTCCTAAGGCAAAACAAATTTGCAAGAAAATTCAATTTTTTTCTTCTTAAAATTATGTTTTTCTTTTAACAATGATAATTTTCTAAAATTAATTTTGAGTCAGAGAGGTAATGAATATGTACTAAATTTGGTATAATAAGTTTTGTAAGGGACATATATTTTGATGCTATTACATAAAAAACTATGAAGATAAAAATAAATGAGTAGAGATATTGATAAAAATATATAGTATTATGTTGATTGAGAGTAGAAAAATCAAGGACTCATAAGTCCGAATCACTTTTTATCTGAAAAATATCTTTTGAAATTTATGATCCCCGAAAGAAAAATCATATGACACACTTAAAATGAATAATTTTTCTAAACCTATAGGGTCACATTGACCAATTCTTGAGTTATCAAATACATTATCATTTTAATATAAAAAATTATTAAAATGAGATGCACTTTGTTCAAAAAGAAAACTTTGATTGCAAATTATTTATGTTCTTACTTGATGGCTCCTCTTTTTTTTTTTTTCTATACACCATTTTCTTTTTCTAATTTCCTACAAAGAGTTCAGCTTTTTTTTTTCTTTACAAAGAAAAACCCTCTATTGTTTTTCTCTTTTTTTTTTGGTATAAAGAAATCATGTTTATAATTCGAATGATATTTTGATACTATTTGAAAAAGTTAATATGATTTGTGAAATATTTGAAAATGAATGTAATGTGTGGAAAAGGATGAAAATGATATGTTTTTCCCTCATTTTTGCAGTCTAAAGAACTCTTGTTTATAATTATATTTATGTTATATATATATATGTGTGTGTGTGTGTGTGTGATGTATAATTGTTAAATCATATTTTGATTTTTTTTATGTGCATATATATTCTGAGATAACATTCCTCTGATTATATATATATATATATATATATATATATATATATATATATATATTATAATCAAAATCTATTTTCAAGGATGTGATGCTAAAGAGTAAACAACGAGTTCGAGTTAAAGATCTTATAAAAATTATGTTGGAGATATGCTTGATATGATTTCTTCTATGCTTAAATCAATTTGAGTTTAAAAAATTTAGTTAAATATTAAATCTCTGAGATATACTTTATACTAAAAAGAAAGTTACACCGATAATATACCTTTATGTGCATCATTTGACCATAAATGACTTTGTGAAATCATGAATTGGTCGACCACATGAGCCGACCCGATTTCCTTATTAGCACTATATTACATTGTCTCATACCATTTCGATTATGTACATACAACATATCCATAGTAATATAAAGATCAAATAATCATCCACTAAAATAAAAAAATATATATGATTCCAAAAATGACAATAAATGGTCCTCCCTGCACACAGAAAAAGAGGAAGGAGGAAATGAGAAAAAGAAAAAGGCTGCAGACATAAAAAGGTGGAAAAAAAAAAGAAGAAGAAAAAGTAAAAAGAGAATATTCAAATTCTCCCCCAACACTACTGCGACATAAGAGGAAAGAGAAAAAAAGGCGAACGCAGCAGCACCGAACAGGCACTTCCTTGAACCATATACTTGTCGCACTCGCCCTTTGCTTTGGTCCTCCCACCTCCCCACCTGTGATTGACGTCGTACCTCCTCCTTCACATACCGCCACCCCTTTTCTGAAAGAAACAAGTGAGCTGCAGCTGCTGCCGCTCGACTGTCATCTCCTCCCCCCCTTTTCCCCTTGTTATTTTCCCCCCTCCGAAATCATCGTCGCAGGCTGCTTAGCGACCGCGCACCTCTTTCCCTCTCTGTTTCGACTAATCAACCTTTCTTACTCTGAAAATACATTGAAGGTTCAGAGTACTGGCCATGAACGCTCCTCGGGAAGATCTCGGCAATGAATGAGCTTTTATGGTCAGTAGCAGTGGGAGTGATGGACGTAACTGGTGCAAATCCTCCGGTGGACAATCATGAAGCTGTCCGATAGAATCCCAGGACCCCTGCGCATGAAAGCCTCGGCTCCAGCTGTCACCTCCTCCTCTCTCTCTCTCTCGCTCGTCTTCGCTGTTTCTTTCACTGCGCTCACAGTTGCCGGTTGACCGCGAGTCAAAGCCATGCTCACACACGGGCGCGGGTGAGCGTGGCGACGGACCGCCACCGGGTTTACCCCCGAGGCAGACGCCGGTCTCGCTGCGGGCCCCACCGGGTAGATTCGGGTAACGAGAGGTGACGCTGGACGCTGGAGTGTGCTGGAACGGCGGCTCCGCTTTCTGGCCCAATCGCGAGCGTGCGGGTGGGGGGGGGGTTGGGATCCGCTGCAGGCGGTTATAGGAAGCTTTTATGAGTCAGTGGCTCACGTGATCCGTGTGGGGCGGGCCCCACCGAGACGAGGCGGTTTTTCGTGAGGTGAGATTGCAATGGCGAGTGGGGAGGATCCGGCGTGAGCCCGGTTCGGGCCGGTTCGGACAACGACGAGATTGAACCCTTACCCTCGGCCTAACCCTAAGGTTAAATACCCGTCCCGTCTCTCGCCCGCGGTCTCTCGCCCAAAGCGCGGAGCCTGCTCTTCTGGCCAACTTCCCTACCTCTCTCGCTCGCAAGTCTCACCACCTCGGTTACTTGGAACCCTAACGAGCGAATTCGAAACCCTCGCGCGGCCCCTGCAATTCGCTTCCGTTCTTTCCGTCTCCTCGTAATCGGTGGTCCTCTTGATACGCGCGGCCGCGATGGATCTCGCCTCCCTTACCGTTGTCCTCCGCGCCGCGCTCAGTCCTATCCCGGAGGAGAGGAAGGCCGCCGAGGAGAGCCTCAATCAGGTGAATTTCGTTCCCTCCTGCTTCGCTTGATCGATCGGTTTCTTTTGGTTATGGGTTCTTGATTGATCTCTGCTGCTGTCGATGCTTTTCTAGTATCGGGTGGATTGTGATCTCTTGGATTTATTTTCGATTGATTTTGAATTTTGATCGGGTAGTGCTTTAGGGTTATGCTGCTGCTGTTTAGTTTGATTTCACCGTAGCGATATCTGCTTTCATCTCAGTTCAGTTTGTTACCAATGGAAAACGTGAACCTGTTGTCCTTGATTTTTGAAGTGGTAGATCTCAAGGATGGTTGTAAATTATGGTTTCAGTCGCTGCCATTGTTTTTTGGATTTGGTACCTTTTCTGCTTGTTGTACTAAATGTGTGATTATTTACATTAGTGCTACAGTGAGACCATAGTAAGAAAAAAAAAAAAAATCTGTTTTCAAATAGCGTCATCTATAATAGCGTATGGTCAAGTGGTGAAAGTTCGCACGTTATTCTTTCCAAAATCATCAGTCTGTGTGTGAACCTGGATGGGCTGATGTCAGCATATGTAGGACGTGGCATCAAGGATAGATTAATTCAAACTCAGACGCATCATTTTCTATTTTGTCTTTTTTCCAAGATTGTTTTTGTTAAAATAATCAGACATGTATTAGGTATTTTGTCTGTGTAATAGCGTTGCTGTACTATAAATCAAACAGGTAAAACGGACAAGCAACTCGTTATGTTACGACTGCCTCCTCATAGTACAATTTTGTGATATGGTTCTTTCTACTTGTATTATCCTATTGAAGTATGTCTAAGCTTTACTCTGTTACGTGTTAAAATTGTTAGATATTGCAGAACTTTTATATCTTGAATTGTATAAGTTTCACTGGTCGCAATGGTTCAAGTTTGTGTGAATATTACTGTTTTTATTTGTCAAAATTGTTAGATGTTGCAATGTTTTTTTTCTATATCTTGAATTGTTTAGGTTTCACTGTTTTTGGTGGTTCAAGTTTCTATGAATATCTGATTCTGATTTTGGGATTGCATTATGCTATAATTAATGTGTCGGTGCAAGTTTCATCAGTATATTGTATTTGGTCAAGAATGCTCTGCATCTAGGTTGTTTTGGATATATAAATCATGATCTTGACAATATTGGCCTCTGAGTTTGTTATTTGGTCACAGAAGATCTGGTGTAATTTAGTTTCAAATAGTGTTGTTTTCTTGTTATTTTCATCCATCTAATGCAATCACCATATCTGACAAAGAAATTATTCTTTTTTATGTGCACATATGCTGATTATAAGGGACATATAGAATTCCCATATGGACCAATTCAAAGAAACCTAGTAACTAAGCTGTGACAAACTAAGCTAACTGCTTCCTGCTTTATCAACACTTAAGTCTTGCTAGGATATACTCTCTTGTTCTTTGATCCCTGTATTGGTATATGCTTTTTTGCTGATGTGCTCGGATATAATCTCTTGTTTTTCTTTTATCCCTGTATCAGTATATGCTTTTTGCTGATGATACATTTTCTATTTCAGTTGTTAATTATGTTTGATACTCAAAACGAAGTTAAAAAGATACAGAACATTTCAGTTGTTCCAATTTAGTAAACATTTATACATATCTGGTTTTGTGATTTTGAGTCATGTTGGTTGATGGCAGGCAAAGTTTAAATTAGTGATCGAAATTTATGATGACTGCAGGTCATTTATTACTTGTCAAGTATTGTTCTAGCCATAGCTAATGTGAGCACATATGGACATATATGCTGATTAAATTATTCAATTTTTTTGTTCTTGTATTAATTTTTTTGTGTGTGTGAAAAAAATGTACAGGAGAAAGTTCATGAGGAGGCATACTTGCTCTTTGATCATGCATCTCTTGTGGCTTTTAAATATGAATTCTTGTCTTATGCAGTTCCAGTACACACCAAAGCATTTGGTGAGGTTGTTGCAGATTATAGTAGATGGCACTTATGATATGGGTGTGCGACAAGTTGCCAGTATTCATTTCAAAAACTTTGTGGCAAAACACTGGTCACCGCATGATCCTGGTAGGAGTGGTGTACCAGTTTATGTTATCACTTGATTTATCTAGTTGGCTACAAAATAACTGGTGTTTGTTTGTTTTAGGGGAGCCTCAGAAAGTATCTGAAATTGACAAGAGCATGGTTCGTGAGAACATTCTTGGATTTATTGTGCAAGTTCCACCACTGCTGAGGTACATCAATTGATTATCTGATCTTTGACACGAGCTGGTAGCCAGTACTATTACTTCTTGTCCATGATGAATATTACCTTTGCTTCTATTGGTATATCCTCTTGTTATTTCTATTAATTTAATGTTCTAGATATGCACCTTGAATTTTCCTTTTGGTGAAAACCCGAGGCTTTTTGGATAATACCATATTTCCTTTGGTATAGTTAACATTGATACCTTGCTACTGGAAATTCTTCAACTTCTTTGTCCCAATTGCAGAGGCAACTCCTGTATGTATCTCATACATTTGGTTGTGTTTTTTGTGGAGTCGTCGACCTAGCTTACAGATTTTATAATTGGATGTTGTTGACCTAGTTTATAGATTTTATAATGTAATTCATGAATTTCATCCCTGGAGTTTTAGAGCATTCTTGTCATTATATGCTTATTGCCCAATATGTATTTTACATATTTTTGGCTTGTTCCAGCTACCTTTGTTCGCTCATTATGGTGCTGGATACATAGGTGAAAATTAGATAATTGATCTATATTTTATTTTTTCCTTCTAATGGATTGATATTGTCAGACTTATCTTTCACCAATAGGCATCACATTATTATTATTGTTACTACTATTATTATTATTTTGCTATGGATATCCAATTATGCTGATGTAAGACACAAGGAATGACGTTTTGCCTAGATCAGTAAGAAACAAGCGGTATGTGCCAGTCCGAGCATCAACCGGTATGCCGATTGCCCCTGATCCGGTCCACAATATAAAAGGGAAACTTCTAACCTAATCACTACCGCTTCTCAAGTACGCAACCTCTGCCTCACATGCAGTCGTGATCCACGCTTCTCACTGCGACTGACACAACCGTTTCTCATGCACTCGTGGCCTCTCACCGCGACCAACCTCCGCTTGTCACAGCCTCACTGCACACCACCACCATGCATGACCTTTGCCCTCATGGCTTTGCGGGTACACCTCTTCCTCTTCCTCTTGTTCTTCATTCTCTTCCTTCACTCTCTCCTCTTCTTCCTTCTTTCTCTTTCCTCCTCTTCCTCCACTCGCCCTTCCTCTTCTCCTTTTTCTTCCTCTTCGAAACACCAGTACACACCGGTGTACTGACACATGGTATACTGATATTGGATCGGAATGTACCAGTCTGTACAGATCACCAAAATGGGTCCGGTATCTGAAACAATGATCCTTGGTAAGACATATGTTACTTTGGTCTTGGTTAGGTCAAGCTGAGTTGGATTAGTTAATGTCTTTTCTTTAATTTGTAATTTTCATACTTATTTTTATATAATATCATAGAGTTTGATGTAGTTAGATTCATATTCATCCATGGAAATCAGATTGAAGTTGATAAGAATTAGTATCAGAGTGAAATTATGTAGTTTTAGATAATCAGAATTGTTAAGATGGTATTTCGATTCATAAGTTAGCTCATTTGGTTGCCGTCTGTGTTCTAATGTATCTAGAAATTGTCTAGTTAGTCAATAAATTAATTGGGTTAAACTTCTTTGTTTCCAAACTTGATTTGCTGAGTTAATAGCCTGGTTTGTTAATCTCTCCTATCTAATCCTCTGAATCACTGTTCACATATTTCTGCTTTTTTAAAGAAAAAGGGTTACATTTACTGCTAAAATGTGGATAATTTTCCTTTGTTAAAATGTACATATGAGATACAGGTGGTGCAGATTAAACTTGATCAACTGGTTGTCATAAATGTAATTCTTAAATGAAGCTTTGTGACATTAAAATTGAAGTTTTGAATAATTATAACATCATGAATCCATGATATATAACTTGCATTGCAGGAAAGCAATTACTGTGATTTATTTGTCTTTATTCTTTGACTGCTCAATTATAACTTCTGGTATTGTTGTTGGCTATTCTGACATTTTATCTACTTGAAACAGAGCTCAACTTGGAGAATGCATTAAAACAATTGTTCATGTTGATTATCCAGAAAAGTGGCCAAGTCTTCTTCACTGGATAAAGTGCAATTTGCTGATGCAAGATCAAGTACTAGGAGCTTTATTTGTTTTACGAGTTCTGGCAAGGAAATACGAGTAAGCATGCTACATGGCTATATCTTCCTACCTTTATTAGTTCATTGTGATTAAATTTTTTTTTCTTTCTGCTATAGAAAACATTTACTTCTTATGTGACTGCATGGATATGAGTTGGCATTGATGAAGTTGTATGCATGAGATGTTTGAAGCTTATCAGTGATTAATTGCGGATAGATTTCACTTTTGCATCATTTATGTAATTTATTATCGGAAATGTTACTTATACATCTGCCGATTAACTTTCTTGTTTTTTTTTTATTATCTTAATGTTCTGCTTCCTTTTAGGTTCAAGTCAGATGAAGAACGAACCCCACTTTATCTTATTGTTGAAGAGACATTTCCTCTTTTACTAGATGTATTTAACAAACTTGTTCACATTGTTAACCCACCAATTGAGGTAGCTGATTTGATCAAGCTGATATGCAAAATATTCTGGTCATCCATATATGTAAGTTCAAATATGGCTAATTTAGTTCTTACAAGAGTTTATAAAAATACTTAGATTTCATGTTTTTTTTTTGACGTGAAATGTTTTTCAGTTAGACATCCCCCGGCAACTGTTTGACCCCAATGTGTTCAGTTCATGGATGGTTCTGCTCTTGAATATACTGGAAAGGCCTGTTCCTTTGGAAGGCCAACCTTCTGATCCTGAAGTACGGAAATCTTGGGGATGGTGGAAAGTCAAGAAGTGGACAATCCACATCTTAAATCGTCTATATACTCGGTTAGTTAGTTGGCAAAGAAAGCAAATGTGTTCTTTAGTGTTGTATTTTGTACTCAAATTAACTTGAAGTTAAGGCTTGCAGGTTTGGGGATCTGAAGCTTCAGAAACCAGAAAGCAAAGCATTTGCTCAAATGTTTCAGAAGAACTATGCTGGAAGAATTTTGGGGTGCTATCTCCAGTTGCTTAATGAGATTCGTATAGGTGGATATTTACCTGATCGGGTTACCAACCTGATACTTCAGTATCTTGGGAACAGGTTAGTCTTGCTTGTGTAGCTGCCTCTATGGTTAATCCCATTTCTCAGGTAACAATAACCTTTTGAGTTACTTGTCTAAATTGTAGCTGTTTTTCACCATTATTTCTCTTCTGCAGACATAGCAGCTGTTGTCCTAAATTTTTAAGATTCTTCTTCTGTTCATGTTTGAGCTTCTATGATTTTCCATTTACTTGTCTTTTCTTTTCCGTTCTTTATTTTTTGTTCATATTGTTAGTTATGAATGAGTTCTCTGTTGAAGTTCTTTAAGAGCTGAGTGGAGAAAAGGAAGAACCCTTCAATCTCTTGTTAGGATTAAGAAATTATATTGAAAAGATTAAATGTTCAACCTGCAATAGAAGGTTGAGGAGAATTTGGCTGATTTGAATGACTTCTCGACATATTCAAAAGTCATTGTGTTCATTTAATTGTGAGAATTGCAAAATACATAAAGGTAACAAGATGAATCATCAAGAATATTCTTGTAAATTTTGAGGTTGTTGTCAGGTTCTTGTTTCGTGTCGGTTTTTCTTAACTAGGAAATATAACATATTATTCTTTGCCTTGTTTTTAGGTCTTGTTAGTTAGATTGTTTTAAGCTTTAGGGTAATTTATCCTTATCCCTTTTTATGTTTCTACAGGAATAGAACAAGCTTGTAGTATAATTATATAGGGTCCGCTACCATCATCCAGTTACTAATGTTAATTTTTTTTAAAACAATATTCTCAGATACTAGTAATTGCTTGGTTGCTTACCTATTATATAAAAAATAGTCCTCTACACAACACCCCTGTCATGGCAAGGTAAACCTGATAATTAATAGAACTAAATCAGTACATAATTTAAATAAACATAGTAAATATAAATCGATAATCACAATAAAATATGTGAAAATAATAAAATTAACTGAAGACAAGATAACAAGGTAGTTATATAAATCTAAAGATAATAACAATTCAATGACAAATGAAGATTATTAAATCTAAATGCTGGAAAAGTTCTGTTTAATATTAATTGATTATGTTATGGTGTAGACATGTAGTGTGCTCAGAATCAGATGGCTGATGATAAGATTTTTTTTTTTTCTTTATGTCCCATGTGGTGTGATAGTACCTTCTCCTTGTAAGCTTTGTGGTGTGTATGTCAGCCACTCCATACACTTTTTCTTGAATATTACTTTTTCTCTCAACAATTCGGTTAGAATCATGGCTTACATGCCATTTATTTTGTTTGCGAGCATATATTGCATTTGTGCTGCTTATGCTGTAGCATCTTAGTAGTTCTAATCTGTTAGAGCTTAGCAATCTTTGTGCTTTAGCCTCAGTTTGCTTTTCTTTAAAAAAGATATCCTTTTATGCAGTATTTCAAAGAATAGTATGTACCAGTTGCTCCAGCCTCAGCTTGACATCATCCTCTTTGAGATAGTCTTTCCACTTATGTGTTTCAATGACAATGATCAAAATTTATGGAGCGAAGATCCACACGAGTATGTCAGGAAAGGCTATGGTGAGTTGTTAGTCTCTTCATTCTACAATGAAATGACGATTTAAAAACTATGATATTCTAAAACTTTTTCCTTTTTTGGAAGATGACTGTTAGGTAAATAATTTTGTTTCTATTGAACAGATATTATAGAGGATTTGTACAGTCCTCGAACAGCAGCCATGGACTTTGTGAGTGAACTAGTGAGAAAGCATGGGAAGGAAAATCTCCAGAAGTTCATTCATTTCATTGTGGATATTTTTACGAGGTATATCTACTCCTAGACCCTTGACATTACTTGAACATTGTAAAAATGAACATATTTAGTTTATACTTGATAAATGCAACCAGATATGATGGGGCATCTGTTGAATTTAAGCCATATCGTCAGAAAGATGGTGCTCTTCTGGCTATTGGAGCATTATGCGATAAGCTTAAGCAAACTGAGCCTTATAAGTCAGAGTTAGAGCACATGTTGGTGCAACATGTTCTCCCTGAATTCACTAGTCCTATTGGCCACCTTCGAGCAAAGGTCTCTTTCTAATAACTTTGTGGTTATCAGAGTTGAAAATTTATTTAATTTTCTCTTTATGGTTTTGTATGTGTTTTACTAGTTCAATTGCATAATGAATTTCCTTTTTGTTCAGTTCAACCATTAAAATTGATTTTTTTTCATTTATTCATGCTTTAATAGTGGTTAGGTTTTTATCTTTAACAGGTATGTATTCCTTGTTAAAAGGCTTTGCAAACTTGTTTGATGAATTAATATTGCTACTTAGCTGTAACCTTTTCAATTCCCTCTCCAGTGCATATCCTAATTTTTTATGATGTAACAGCTGCTGATGTATGAACATTGTACACTTGATTGGTAGTTCAGTATAATCTTTATTCTGCTCCTATTTTGCATCTAATGTGTTAGTTCTGATTTTCTGGATGTGCTGTTAACTTGGGTCATTTAAAATCCAATTAAAAACACCAAAGATTACTATGATTTTGATCTCCTGTGAATCATTGGTTATAATCTGGCTTATAGTCTGAGCATCTTTGTTTTCAAGCTTCTACAACTGCAATGTTCATCCTCATTATTTCGCAAGCCCTTTTTATTACTATAGTAAGCAATTGAGCAGCGACTCAAAATGGATGGTTAGGCAAAAATAGTATGTAGATGCTTGATCCCTTTTCTCTCTGAACTTGTGAATTGTAGGGTTGGACCCATTGGAGTTATTCTAAACACAGAAAGTGTACAGATGAAGAGGAAATGAATTAAATGATAAACCTTGCCATGGATATTGATACATATCTCAAAAAGGCGCCAAAGAGCAGACGAAGTTTGATCTCCAATAGTTTATAAATTTAATTTTTTCATAATTTAAGGCTCGCATTTTATTATCGACATGCCTTTTCACAATCCCAGCTAATTGCGGGTTTTCCATACCACAGAATGATGTTTCACTTATGTCGGTGTGAAATGAGCGGGTACATATCGGTATAATTGAATCCATACGTAGATGGCCCCCATTTCGAGCAATCCAGTCCGATCCATTAAAAAACAAAAAAAGTTAAAAGTTAACTGTTTCTTAATTCTGTAAATTGTTTTCCGAAAGCACATTAGCCTTTTTGCTTTATGTAATTATGTGTTGACAGATTCCTAATTCTGTAAATTGTTTCTTTTCAATGGTTTATTAGGCGGCATGGGTTGCAGGGCAATATGCCCACATCAACTTTTCAGACCAGAACAATTTTCGTAGAGTGTTTCACTATGTTGTTTCTGGTTTGCAAGATCCAGAGCTTCCTGTTCGTGTTGATTCAGTCTTTGCTTTACGCTCTTTTGTCGAAGCATGCAAAGGTAAGTTTTCTATAAGCATGACCTTTTATTTTATTATTCATGCTCCCTTTCTTTAACAAAACAAAGTATCTGAGTGTTCTATTTCTCATACAGATCTGAATGAGATACGTCCAATTCTTCCTCAATTACTTGATGGTATGTTTCCACTTTCCACTATATTATCCAAGTATCATTGGATTGCACATTATTATTGAAAGAAGATTCTCATTGTCTTTTTCTCTCTGCAGAGTTCTTTAAACTTATGAATGAAGTGGAGAATGAAGACCTTGTTTTTACTCTTGAGACTATAGTGGACAAATTTGGTGAAGAGATGGCACCATATGCTATTGGATTGTGCCAGAATCTGGTAATGCAATAGTATACTGATGGTAGTTTCCTTGTACAGGTTCTTTTTTGAGATCCTTTCTAAGGTATGATCTGAAAAACCTTGTGTAGGCTGCTGCATTTTGGAGGTGCTTGGGTGCATCTGAATCAGATGATGAGGTTGATGATTCTGGTGCTCTAGCGGCTGTTGGATGTTTACGTGCTATAAGTACAATTCTTGAATCTGTGAACAGGCTTCCCCATCTTTTTGTCCAAATTGAGCCAACTTTATTACCTATTATGCGGAAAATGCTATCTACAGATGGCCAAGGTAGCTATTTTGCTTTTTCATACATATACTTGTGTTTTTTAATTAAATGAATGTGATCACTGGACTATATCTATATCATTGTAGAAAAGTAGCATATCTCTTAGTAAAGGTTTCTGTGTGATATGTATAAACTCCAGCATGTAAAGGTGATAGGTTCATCCCTGTGTTATGGCATTTAAACACCTCATACTTGTATTGACATGGACCGCAAACTGAAGACACTTTTCTATTCACATTAACATCTACATGGATTGGTTTTTTTCAAAGTTTGCTTATTAAATTATGATGTCAATTACCTTGGTAATTGTGGCAGTATTATGTTTGTCACATTTTATTGTAGCATTTTTAATGGCCAAGGTTTATTTGCATTTAAAATGGATCAAATAGTCATTCCTTTTCCCCCCAAATTTGATCCTTATAAAGAGCAGGAAGATTATATAATATTAAATTGAAGTTAATTGGTAGAAGCTTGAAGTTCATAAAGCATCCTATGAAACACGACATTCCTAATGGGAAAAGGAACATAATAAGTTTAATAGATCAATCTCACTTGAGTTTAGAATTTATCTTGGTTGAGCTGTATTTATCTATGCCTACATGTAGTAATGACTCATGTTTAAGAGAAATGCTGGACCAAGTTGGACATCAAGAATTGCTACCCATTTAATAAAGTATGATGAAAGCTAATGACATTCATAAAATCTATCTTTTTAGTTTTAGATCATGCAGTGGACTTGTTTGGCTTAGAATTGCTTTCTTTTAAGACATACTTAGTGGCTATTATGGATCTAAAATGAATCTGACAGAGCAGGGAATGAGGTTAGCAAAATGGGGCTGCCTAAGTGTTTGAACAATATTTCAAAGGCTACTTCTACAGAAAATACCAGCATTCTACTTGCTTTTGTGAGAAAGTAATGCAACAGAACCAGAAGGGTTGCTATGTCTAGTTTGGTATTGTTAAAAAAAAGGTGTTGATTTGAAGTAAAACATGAAAGAGAATAGAAAAGGAGACTTCGTTTAGTCCAATGAAGCATGCTTCAATTAATGGACAACTTATCATATTAAAAACACAACTAATGTTGTCTGTAGACTCTGTACTCTTGACTCGCTAAGTAGCAAAGTTTCAGGTTTCAGTTCAAGACTCATAAGGATCCTTGGCCAGTCCTGTATTTACTGTGATATTGACATACGGTATGTTGGTGTACCAATCAGCATAGAGCAAGGGGAGTAAGGGAGAGAGTAAAGGAGGAGGAGATGAGAGAGATGAGGAAGAGAAGGAGAGTTAACTATTAGGAGTTGGCAAAATTTCTTTAGAAACCTTTCTCTTACAATTCCCATATATGAGTGTTATGCATGGTGCACAAGTTGTGTTATCTTCCTTATTGTACTACTAATAGTTCAGTCTAGGTTAGCTGTTATTATCTCCTAATTCTTAATTGGAGGATCTTCTCTTTCTTGAACTGGAGCACTATGCAGGGAATATTCTAATAAGTCACCATATCTAGTCTTTGCACGTAACCAAGAATCCATCTAACACTAGACACAGGTCACACTACCATGTAGTTCTTATTTTTCTTCCCATCTAAATTCCAACATATGTTTGATATTCATTTGTTACAATCCAAGCAATCTCCTAGGTTAATCATTTATATCGAGAGAACTTGACAAATGACCCAAAATTCTTTTGCTCTAGTGAGTACTGCACTAAAATGCTTTGATGCTTTGTTCTTCCTGCTGGTTTCATGTCAAGTTGCATAATAGGTTTTTTGTGTCACTCAAATTTCACTTTGAGTCTATTACATCATCTGTCACTCGAGCTACCTATTAGCCAATAGCCAAAATGTTCTGAGGTCTATCAACATAATTTTAAGTACCTAATCCTACATAAATGGTAGTAGGTTTACACAAGCTTATATGAAGAAGTCTTATCTTTTTTTTCTTTACTTGGTTTTGGAAGGGGGAATTTATGTCCAAATATGGCCATCATAAATATTTCACTCCTAAAATGTCCTTATTTACTTATCAGCTTTTAAATTGTAGAATATTGCACTTTGGCTGTAATGTGCCTCCTAACTAGCCAATGTTAATTGTAGATTGTAGTGGACATTGTTTGACTCATGACGGCACTTGTGATAAACTAAAAGTTCCAAAAAATTCAGATATTTCAACTTTACTAAACCATGTCGTCTTAAAGCTATCATGACTATCTTCAATAGAAAAGTGTGATAAGAAACTGAAAACAATGGTGACATTCGACTTAAACTTATGAAAGTAATGGAAAACTTGTTCAATATCAAATGTGAATTAACTCAATTGAATGACTGAAATGGTAGACCTAGTGTACAAAGCTTCCTCATAAACTTTTCATATATCAGGAGCCTCATGAACTTAGCCACCCTTTTAGTCATTAGATTGAAGAGATATACGATATTGAATAAGTTTTTCATTTCTTTTATAAGTTACGTTGATTGTCACCAGTTTTACATTCTTTTATAAGTTTATTTGTCACCATACTTTTCAGATAATAATGATTAGTTGGCTTAAATGTAAATCTAAATTAATTCAAAGACCTATGTTTATCTATGTTGCATCGACTTACAATGTTGAACTGGTATTAATACATCATTGTGTTTCTTTTAAATAATCACAAGTAGCAGAATTCATTAGATCTATTTGGCTCTTATATGCTAATTATGAAGAGGTCATTGTAAGTATGTTGCCTAATTCAGTTACTTCAAGCTACAAGGTTAGTGCATTGAAATATTTTTTGAAAATTCATAATAAATTCTTTTGATTTGCAGATGTTTTTGAAGAAGTTCTAGAAATAGTCTCCTACATGACATTTTACTCCCCAACGATCTCATTGGAGATGTGGACTCTTTGGCCTTTAATTATGGATGCACTTGGAGATTGGGCTATTGATTTCTTCGATAGTAAGTTAATGATTTCTTGTATATCAATTACTATGATATTTTGAAGCCTTGTTTCCTGCACACTGTTATTCAAAAAGTTTCTTTCTGAATAGACAAAAGCTAATTCAGGCTATCATGTTTTAGATGTTATTTTGTCCTTACTCCTTAGCATGTTGGCCTGATATGTTATCTGCTTCCCCTGTGTAATTCTGACTGCATATTTAAGTTTGGTTATCATCATTAACCTCAATATGTTGAATGCATAACAGTATAGACACTTGTTTTTAAGTGGGACCAATCTTGCCAATTGTTTTTGTACTCGTTCAAATGCTTTAGGATGGTGAGATTCACATGTGCTCCTTATTAATCAGTGGAATATATCAGGGTTTGCTTATAGTGATTAAGTTTTAGGTCATCATAGGTTGGCAACTATAAGTTATGATTTCTACTAGTTTTTCAGTTAAAGGTGCACATTTATTAAAAAAAAAATGTTTACCACTTGAAACTACATGTAGCGACTGATTTAGTACAATTAGGCTAGGCTTGTCTCTGTCGAACTTGAAGTATTCAAATCAAGGTATGCAATACCGTATCGTACCAGTGTTTCAAGGTTGGCTCGGTACGGTACGGTACCGTGTACCGAACGGTATGCCTAATTTAAGTGTAAAACCCTCCGAAAATACCTGAAAATAAAAAAAAAGTTAAAGGTTCGTATTTCAGTCCATTACGAATTGTCCTTACGTAAACATACCTCTTGATTAGAAAGTTCTTCCTCTTAATATTCCCAAATTAGCCTTGATTCAATTCATAAATCGTTGTTTTGTAGAGTTTAGGAGAGCACAAATGTGAGAAAAAAAGAGTTTAAGATAATTTAAGAGAGTATGAAAATGTAATGGAGTGAAATAGGGGAGAAGAAGGGGTTTAAATACTATGAGAAAGGGCTCCAACGGTCAATTTGATCGTTGGAGCACTGTATCACTATTACCGAGCGGTTTTAAATATTTCTTCCTCTAACCGTAGCACTGTAGCACGTTCCGTCTGGTAGCGGGCGGTCCGCATATCGGTATGCCGTTGGACCAGTACGTACCGCCCATACCGGGCGGTACCATTCGAAATTGCATACCATGATTCAAATGACCTTAATCATATTCTTTTCTTAATTAATAAATTTTACCCAAAAGGAAGGATGCAGTCTTTCTCTAGAAAGAGGATGGTCTACTGCATGTCTTGGACAGTTAATCCATACGGTTACCCTGCAAGCAAAGAGACTTTTCATGATTTGAACTTCAGTTGTTCGATTTGAAAGGATCATGGTGCCAAGGCTCACCCTTTAGTGTTCCTATTCCATAAATAGATCAATATTCTATAATGCGGATGGACAATTTATAAATTCTTTTCATGTGGTTTGTTGGAGATTTTATGTTGGAAAGCATTGTCTTAGTGTTAGAAATGATCATCAACCCCACGTGAAAACTAGATGCCCATTTTGCGAATGTTCCCGATCTGAAAACTATATGCCCCTTCAGGATGACCGAGTTGGTGTCCCTTTGCGTTTCACGCTCTTGACAGAAGACTTCTTCCATGCTGAAGGATGTCTGAGGCATATCTTTGATGCTCAAGTGACCAAAGAGTTCAAAGAACGAGTTCAATTCAGAGAGTTTAGAGGTGAGTGTGTATCTGGAGAGACCCTCCTTTTACATCATCCAAGCTAAAATATTAGAAGAAAATATTCTTTTTAGATGTCATGTTGACTAGGCACACTTAGGTGGCATCATGTCATCGTTATTTTGACTGGGTAGGTTTAGATGGTGCCCAATCATCACCATGCTAGCTGGCCATCATGGCCAATTGGGCAACGCGTTTTGAGCGTTGATTGGACGCCATATGTCAAGTTCCAATTGGCTGTCGGTTTTAGGTATATCATCATTATATATATGAGAAGAAATAATATAGTTTTTGGGAAAAAGATATGGATTCCAGGACTTTTCTCTTTGACACCATTGCTGCAACTTATGTTCTGCTAACATTAATTCTTTTTGAAGTTTCATAACCGCTCATGCCGGATACTTTAGAAAATGATAAATCAGTAAGAAGACTTAGATATCTATACTTTTAATCACTACGTCCTTCATTTAATACATATTTCATTCACCAATGTATATTAATGTAGTGGACTGCATGATTGTTCTCTAACCTGCAGTAGATATTTGAGTTTTTTTGTTATATTCTGAATGTTGTGTGATTGCATATATTTCATTGTGATGATCTTCTTGCATATCTTTGCTTCGGCAAGTGCACATTGAAATTTGGTATATCTGTTTTCTCTTGTAGATATACTTGGTCCATTGGACAACTATATATCCAGGAGTACATCACATTTTCTTACCTGCAAAGACCCTGACTACCAGCAAAGTTTATGGAATGCACTCTCATCTGTAAGCTATAGAATCTACAAAGAATAAGTCTGTTTTATCAATAATAGTGTGTGAATATTAACCTGAATCCCTGAACTTTGACATAACTAATGAATTATGTGTGAAATGAATATTGAAAATGCATGTTAATGAGAAAATATTTGGTGATTTGATGCAGATGTTGTCAGACAAAAATATTGATGATGCTGATATTGAGCCTGCTCCAAAGCTTATTGAAGTAGTATTTCAAAACTGTAAAGGTCAAGTGGATCGTTGGGTTGAGCCTTATCTCCGAATCACAATTGAAAGATTGCAGCGAGCAGAGAGGCCATACTTAAAGTGCCTCTTGATGTTAGTGGTAAGAAACCTAGTATGACATACCAGTACTCCAAGTTAGTATCTTATTTAATGTTTCCTTTATACCGATCTTTACAATATAATACTCTAGGAAATATGAGGTGCACTTAGACATCTATGTGCTTGTATTTTGTGAATGTAATTCTAATTAACAATTCCTTTCCAATTGTAAAGGATTCTTGTTTGCATTTATTGTAATGAAATTGGCTAGGCAATTGTAATATGAAAGATAATTTTTATGACCATGAGAAATAAATCAGTCTCTTCATGCCATCAGAACATCTAAGTTAGGCTAAAATCAAATGTATAGATATCTTGAATGCAAGCTGTCATGCCTAATTAGTTTGTTTTGATGAAGTCTTGTCAATATTTAAGTAGTTGGTTGTACAAAAAAGATTGTAAAACTTTTGTCATTTATTTTCAATTTCTTTCCAATAAAATGATTGGTTTCAAAATCTCTGGCATGTAGGATGATTCAGACAGTTACAATGATCATGATTATGACTGATGATATCTGCAAATCCATGAATGGCCGGTTATATTTTTCTATTCTGGTATATGTGATGGCTCTGTTCCGTGTGAGATTAATTATTTTTCATAGTGAAGTGCAAGTGCTTGGATGGAATCCAATTCCAAGGGGTTTTAAGGTCGATACTAAGTCTAGGTTAGGAGTAATATCTACTGAAATTTAGTTTCTGTTGCAGATATTAAACTCTAAATTGCTTAGCCTGCTTAGTTTAGGACAATAAAACCCGGTTATTTTTCCAAAACAGCTTTTGCCAATCTAGTGGAATTGGGATGCTGCTTCCTGTTTTAGTAACAGTAAAATTCTGTCTAATTAATATCATAATATCAATAGTTTCCTGTTCTACAATTATGCTTCCAGTGCTGCATCTTGTAGAAATTCATAGTGAAAATTAAAATATTATCAATAAGTACTTCTATTTCTAGAGCTAGGTTAATATTAAATCCACATACCTCTGTACGGTTGGGAGTAGTGGGAGCTTTCAATCTTCCAATACCTACATTCTTTTTTTAAAAATCATTTTGTTATCTTAAAAATCATTATTTTTAAGGGGTTATGTCTTCTGGTATTGCTTTCCAAATATCTCCTTGTGATATGTTCTTACTAGTCAAATATTTACGGATATGCCTATTCAATATTCACAATTGCTGATTCTGTCTATTCAATATTCACAATTGTGTTGTCGCTTTTGTACATGCTCTCTTTAATTCTGTAGCAACAAGCCTGAGTTTCTGCAAAATTCGTGTTCTATACTTGAATTTCCTTATTTTTATGTTTCATTCACAATACAATAACTAATTTTGTAGTCATTTGACTGGGATTTTGTTTGTGTTCATCACTTTTTACAAATCCAGTTTTTGATCTGTATTCCTTTGTAAAAATTCGTTGCTCTTGCAGATCGCAGATGCTATCTATTACAATCCTTCATTGACACTAAATATACTACATAAGCTTGGGGTCGCTGCACATTTTTTCAATCTATGGTTCCAGATGATACAAGAAGTGAAAAAGAGTGGGACACGTGCAAATTTTAAAAGGTTAGATTCTTTTTCTATTCAGGTTACTTTTCTATGGAACTATAACGGAATAGTTGATGCGTGCAAATTTTAAAAGGTTAGATTCTTTTTCTATTCAGGTTACTTTTCTATGGAACTATAACAGAATAGTTGTTTATAATTGCAGGGAACATGATAAAAAGGTTTGCTGTTTAGGATTAACATCACTTCTTGGCCTCCCTGCTGATCAGTTGCCAGGAGAAGCATTTGAACGTGTCTTTAAAGCAACACTTGAGCTGCTGGTCTCTTATAAAGATCAAGTAGCTGGTACAACATCTTATTGCATAGACTGCAAGGACAAACCTTTTATTCTCATTTAAAGCTATTTGTTTGCTCATATCTAGTTGGATTGTTCTACAAGTCCCTTTTTTGAGTAGATTTCTTCTTCTAGTCACCTTTTTTATTTGATAGGTTTCTCACTACTAGAAAATCCATTGAAATGCGATGTTTTCTAATTTTCATGTCTTTTTTGGCCTCAGTTTTCTTTGAAAATTAACTCCAGTTTTCATTATCTGTTCTGTCTAAATAATTTGTAAGAATTGTATTCATCTTACTTTTGCTTCCATACGATATTTGAAGTTCTACATTCTTGTTTTTGGTTTCCTTTTCATTTGTTTATGCTTTTCATCGTATTTATCCCTTCCACAAGATAACAGAGATGCAGAAAGACTACTGGCCAGTGTTATTTTTAGTGCTTTTATATAGTTAACCCTTCCTTTTTGTGTATGGGCAGAAACTAAGAAGCAGGCTGATACTGTTGATGATATAGATGGCTTTGAAGATGATGATGATGATGATGATGAAGATGAGGAAGATGAGTCTGACAAAGAAATGGGAGATGATTCTGTGGATGGGGATGAAGCTGACAGTCGAAAGCTCCAAAAATTAGCAGCAGAGGTAGTTGATACAAAAAATCTCGGTTCCACTCTGTTTTGTTTTCTCCCAAATAACTATAAATTTTCCTTGAGAATATTTAGTTATTTGAATATTGTCTCAAATTTTATTTTAGAGTGGTTTTGATCTTGTATTTTTTCTGTAAAATTCTTGACCTGTAGTGTAGCCTCATTCTTCAGATTGATGGCTTGTCTATTAGAGATGTGACAAAATGCTTGTCCTCTTTTGTTAATTTTGATATGCCTTTAGGATTATGGTGTTCCAAGATGATCCTAATGAATAGTTTGGATTTGTGGTTAATTTTTGCCATTGATTTATAAATTCATTTTTTATGGGTTTTAAGAAGGTACTTTTGAGAGGCATTAAAGCATTGGGAGTGGAAGTTCAATTAATTTTTAGGCAGGATTTTTGGAAAAGGTTTTGCATATTCAATATCTTAGGTATAGAGTCTTGGTGAGGACTGGAAAAAGGGATTCAGCGGTTGTAACTTGTAAGCTAAAAAGGAGATTTTGATGGAACCTTATTAATATTATGATCAGATTGCTAGTCCCGCACATAAGTTTTTGACAGTACTGATACCATAATCTTCCATGCAATCAGGGACTACTTAAATATAGCAAGTTTTCTATAAGGACTTCTGTTTGTTAGAATTGTTTTTACCTATCTCTACATGTACTTTTTTTTTTTCATATTTTAAGTGAAAGTATTGTACTAGATATTTCTTTCTCCTCCATTTGGCCCCTTTTTTTCAAACCATATTTCTTAGCAATGATAATTTATTTATCTGTTTTAGCTCATATCCATTTGCGGACACTCTATCTTTTACTAATGAGTTTATTATGATGAAATCAGGCAAGGGTTTTTCAGTCAAACTATGAGGATGATGACTCAGATGATGATTACAGTGATGACGAAGTATTGCAATCACCAATCGATGAGGTGGACCCCTTTATTTTCTTTATTGATACTGTCCAAGGTAAAAAGTCATCCCTTTTCTGTGCATGCTTCCAATCAATTATTTTCTCTTCATGCAAAATTTACCAGTAACATCTAACATTAATGATGTTAACAGCGGTGCAAGCATCCAATCCCATTAGATTTCAGAACCTAACACAGACCTTGGACTTCCGCTATCAGGCAATGGCAAGTGGCATTGCTCAACATGCTGAACAAAGAAGAGTAGAGGTTGAGAAAGAGAAGCTGGAACAGACAGTAACCAAGTGATGTTAGTTGTCTTACTACATATTGGAACTCTCCCCATAAATCATATTGTTGACCGTATCTTCACTGGGGTAAACCCTGAGTTTGGTCAGGGTGTCCTGGCTCATCTTGCTTGAGTTCATACAGCCTAGGACTATCCGAGGGATGATCGCCATAGCTATTACAGACTCCTAGAATTTTTTGCTTCTCCTGGGGTAGGAGAGAACAAGGTAACAGACACATGGTGAGAAATTCTGTTATCTTTGTAAGTTTTGTCAAAGCTTTTAATGGTTGGCAGTGACAACTCCATGGTGAATGGATGCTGTCACCTAATCATGTCCTCTTTTTTCCATTCTTAAGCATTAGCTGTATGGGAATGATTCATTGGTCTATCTATTTGAGGCTATTGTTTGAGGTCGGGTTGCCAGTATAGAGTGTACAGTGTATAAACGATGACTGTGTTATATAGTTTTGTGGAGTCAGAATATTTATTGATTTGGACATCGTCCCCCAAAAAGGGACAGTTATATGTAAACTAGCATTCTTTACATGGTCTTCATGTTTGGTGAACTAGATTTATTTTTCTTGGTAAGAAAGATTTATTTTGTTCTTAGCAAATGCAATAACTCCTGCAAATCCATTATTTTTTGTCGTCCCACAATTGTGCTTACTGCAAATTGTCAATATATTTTATGTTTCATATATACCCGCTATGATCGTGTTATCATTTGTAGACGTAAATTGATTTGTTTCCACGTTTATAGTGGTTCTGATGTGTTCATCATACAGGTGTCTCTATTAATTTTAGAACTCGTTTTCCGATGTCTTGAATCTCTTAGGTTTCCGATGAACCAAAATTTTAGAACTCGTTTCATATTAATTTTGAGATTAATGCTGAGATACTTTTTGAGTTCAATTTAAAGTTTTTAGAGGAAGTATTAAGTGATTGTTCTATCCGATTATGAAGAAAGAAATCGTACGTGGAGCTCCTCGATGATCCTTAATTATATATATCTTTGGTGGATGACATAGAATGGCAAGTTTCTAAGTTCATATCTGTCTGTTGAATGTTTAAAGTAGGTGATGAGTTTATTTATCTTTAATCCATTCCACTTCCTTTGTTCCCGTTGGCAGTTCACCTTCAAAAGCATGTTAGAGATATGACATCAAAGACAAAAAAGCTGTCTTCTGATCCATATTAATCCGATTTTAAGTGATAAGTAATTAATTATCAATCGAAGACTTAACAGACAAAATCCAATCATATGAAATGATTGTTAATTGAGCCGTCATATCGTGCTTCATTCCAAACCAAATCTATCCCAACTCCAAATGCAATAAGATTGATGAAATTTGATGCTGACAAATATCAAGTCGTTAAAAAATTATATTAAGAAACAATAAGTCGTAAAATAAATCAAAATTAAATGGGAAAAACAAAACCCCATAACTCTAAACCGTCCTTGCAAATATCAAGGCAAATCTTCGAATCCCGCACGCTTTTATCGACGCATGGTACATCTCGCACTCCCGTAGGAGGCGGGTCCTTTCTGGGTCCCAGTATCTCTGCCATTTACCACACGGGTAGACGAGGAGGGTGACGTACCACCGACTGAAGTGCCGTTCGACGCCTCCTCTCTCAACCCTCCACTTCCTTTATGGACCTCACGTATGCCTATCGAAGTAGACTAAAACCCCACCGTTACTTCGTGTTTTTGATTCCGTTGGCCGATCCGCCCACCGATTCCTCGGCATGGCCGCGCTCCCGGCCTTCGCCTGCGGCTGCCTCGTCGCCGGTCCCTCTCTACGGCGGACTCCCGGGGGTCAAGCCTCCCCGTCACCTTCGTTGGCGGTGACGGCGCCGCGTCCGTCCAGCTTCCCGACACTGAAGGCCGTCCGCGGGCGCGGGAGATGGGGGTGGGCATCGGCGTGCTCGACGTCGTTCCCGAGGCTGGGGAGGGACGGGTGGCAACGGAGGGAGGGCAGCGCCTCTCTCCTCTCCTTCGGGGCGGGCCCCGGGGAGCTCCTCGGTGGCAGCGGAGGAGGCGCCGACCAGGCCACCGGCGACCCATCCCAGGGCCTGTCGTTGCTGCTCCCCTTCGTCGTCGCCGCCACTGCAGTCGCCGCCCTCGCCAATCCCGCCACGTTCTCCTGGTGAGCTGGTTAACCCTTCTTATCTCCTTTCTTTCGGTTTTAGATATAAGATGGTTGTTTGGGGGGTTGTGTGTCGAAGTGTGATTAGGGTTTTAGTTCTTTCTCTGGAACTGAATGTGTTTGCGGTGGGATTTATGTGATTGCACAATTATGATCATGAAGTAAGGATTGAAGCCAAGCTGTCGATTTGCATGCACTTCTTGGATGTCAGAGTAAAGGGCTGTAAATTAAAGCCTGAAGAATGGATACATGCATCATTAAGTTTTAAGATCAACTTATTTATCTTCCTAATATTGAAACTATCTTGAGTTGTCATTTTCGAAATTATCATGGAAGGATTTCTATTCTCAATCTGGTATTGTTCTGATTGCAGAAATGTGCTGAATTTGGCTTTTGGAAAGTAAGTGCTGAGTTGCATTGATTCTCTTTATTTCTTTAATGACACATTCATGATATTCTAGTGCTGCTCCTTTCACACAGATAAAACAATTCTGGATTTAGGAAATTGTTGATCATATGAAAGGCTGATGAGGTTTCAGTATAGCTTGTATTAATCATGTCCAGTTAATGGTGAAGAATCTTGATAGACTTCATATACTACCTTTGTGCTTCTTTAATGTAGTCTAAAGAGTTGTCCCTATGTGAAGTTTTCATAGATTTTTGTCATTATGAATAAAAGAATTATGTACAGTGAAGTGAATAAACAAAGTTTTATGTTTGAGACACAATGAGTGGTTAGTGTCAGTAAAATGAGGCTTTATTTATTAGTTTATGAATTAATGAAATGGATGTAGTTGGTTTACATGTTCATAAACAATAATTTAAATAGGAACTAGGAGAGTTTGATGGTATAGGTTCGCAAGGATTTACTCTTTTCTGTTCATGAGATTTAGAAAAACTAGGAATGCAAGGTTCAAATTGATCTCGTAGTCTGAATGGTGTAGAGAGATTTTGTATGGGTGCAGTGATAATGGAACAATAAATAGCATGTTTGATTACTGGTAGCACCTCGTCTTTTTATTCCCACTTGACCTGGCATAATTTTGACTAAGAACTTTTTTGATACATGAATAATTTTTCTGACAACTTGAGAATTTACTTGACATTCTACTTCAAACTCTGTATAATTTGTTGCTTTTCTTTCACTATAACTGGTTAGAAGAATTGTAGTTCCTAGATATTGGATTACAGAAAAAAAGACATGTCCGAGTCACATTTATTTATCTATTTTGAACCTGGAGAAGCTGATTTATTCTTGATCTTTGCTAGGGTTTCGAAAGAATATTATGCCCCTGCTCTAGGAGGTATTATGCTATCCATTGGTATCAGGCTATCTATTGATGATTTTGCTCTTGCCTTCAAGAGGTTCTTTTTTCTATCTCTTCCAGTTGTTCTATTCAATGAGTTACTTAAATTAGTATTTTCATTATGACTTATCTGCTGCAGACCTTTACCTTTATCTGTTGGATATATTGCACAATATGTGCTGAAGCCAGTATTAGGCCTGTTGATTGCGAAGATATTCAGAGCACCTTCTATGTTCTATGCTGGCTTTATCCTTACTTGCTGTGTTGCGGGTGCACAACTCTCAAGTTATGCTAGTTTCCTGAGCAAGGGTGACGTGGCCTTAAGCATTCTACTAACCAGCTCAACAACAATCTCTTCTGTACTTATGACACCGCTTCTTACTGGCCTTCTGATTGGCTCTGTGGTCCCAGTAGACGGAGTTGCTATGTCCAAGTCCATTTTGCAGGTAAAGACAACATATTTGCAAATCATAGTATATAGTAGAATGATCTAGAAAAAGGCTTGGATCAACTATTTTTGTATATAAGAGCACTATTGATGTTGAAATGTTTCGTGCAAATTCACTGGTATAAGAAAGTGAAAAAAAGAAAAACAACCAGCTTTTGTTATGCAAAAGCCACTTCTGGTACTTACACTTGATCAGTTAAAAATCAGCATGTCTCTTTAGTATTAATGTGTTAAGTAGTATATGCAATAATGTTTGTGGTATAGGAACCAAAGGAGGTTGCAGTATTAGCAAAGATATCATAAACATGGTTTGTTTGATTTTATTGAGTTCTTTTTTTGATTCTTTATCATGTGATAAAGGCCAAAATTAGATGTTCAAATTTATTGAAAGCATATAAAGTCTGTGCAATATCCAAGGGATATGAGATGATACATCGCTAGATGTCTGAGACAAGGTTGGGTTTTTGAGACCTAGGTTTTCTTATTGAACTTCTGCAATTAATCTTGTGTGTTATTTCTTTTGATGGCTTATTTAGATCTTCTTCTATCTTTGAATAATTATCCAGTTTTATTCTCTTTCCTTGGCATAATAATGGTCACATGTGTGAAAACTTACATAGACTCGTCTGTAATAATTGCCGTGTTGAATCATCTTTAGCAAAATTTGTTCTGTGGATATGTTAAATATCTATATTGATCAAGTATTTTTCATACATTTCTACAATAAGCCTAATGGTTTTCATCTATCTAGTTTTTACCAGCGATTACATAGTTAATATTAACATACAAAATGATTGGCATTCATGTTTTACTATTTGAAACTGTATGATCATGTAGAGGTCTAATGTTCCATGAGCTACCTTTTTGGAATCTCATTGAGGAGCAATGTGAATGTTTGATGACATGTGACTTTATTGCTTGTATGTCACTTACAGCTTATGTTGCTTTTACAGGTTGTACTTGTTCCTGTTGCTTTGGGCCTTGTTCTCAACACTTACGCAAAGGCTGTTGTGAACTTTATCCAACCTATAATGCCCTTTTTCGCGATGGTTTGCACCTCACTATGCATCGGAAGCCCCCTTGCTATTAATCGGAACCAGATCTTGTCTTCACATGGTCTCATGTTGCTTTTTCCAATATTGACATTTCATCTTGTTGCCTTTGTGTTGGGTTACTGGTTTGCCAAATTTCCATTTTTTAGGTAATTTTTTTTCTTTGATAGTGATCAATTTTGTTCTACGTTTGTTTGTTTCTTTTTTACTCTATTGATGCATATTTGGTCTTTTTGACTGGATTTAATTTGGAAATATTGAATTAATGGTATTTGCTCGAGTTGCTATTGGAATTTTTATATTGTCTTATGCATCATAGTTTTCCATCTCAAAATCTTCCAATGAAGGTTGTACACAACTACGTCTTACATTATAATGGAGTCATTGTTCTTAATATGGACATAATAAGATAACTTCTTGTACAACACTTTTATATTCATGACCAGAAGTTGTCTTTTTTTTTTTTAATGTTTTTATGTGTCTAATTATTGAGTCATTAATTCTTAATTAATTTCACATTGTGTTTCCTTTTTATGCAACTCTAGTTAAAAACTGATCCTTTCTCCATAAATCATGGCTCAAAATTTTTTAAGCTAAGCTAAAGATGGTACATCAAGCATGTTCGCTCCACTATTCATGTATGGGAATAGCTGCTATACTTCACATCTAGATGAATGTAACAGTTAAAAGATTATGGCTTTTGTACTATGTGAACTAGAAGGATTATAATTTGGAAATATAAGAAGTTTGAATCTGAGAAGATCTTAAATCTGGGCAGCAAATCACAGCTTCTAACATGCTTTGGAGCAAGCTCCCCCTCCCAGTGCCGATCCTGTTGTGTGATTATAGACTTCCCACACATTCACCATTTACTTGATGATCACTTGTTCTCTCATTTATTATACTAGAATTTGCCATTAGCTCAGACTTGCAATTTAGATATACTGTGGTGTAATGCTCAACACTTTTAGTTCCTTCTGTAAGCAAAAGCAACTGCTGGCATGTATGCAACTGAGACATGCCTGTAAGTTGTGGTCTACTCTAGCAGCTCCTTTTGGTGTTAAAGACGCACTAAACTTCAACTGAGTTTTTTGCATTAACCTTCATCCTTATTTGTTGTTCTTTGCAGGCAAGAAGAGTCAGTTTGCAGAACGATTTCACTGTGCACGGGGATGCAGAGCTCCACCCTTGCTGGGCTTCTTGCTACACAGTTTTTGGGAAGCACTCATGCAGTTCCTGCTGCATGCTCAGTCGTTCTGATGGCCATAATGGGTTTATGTCTTGCATCATTTTGGGGAAACGGATCACGGATTAGAGACATCGCTTTGCTGATTTGACCCCAAACATGTTCAGATATCAACCCTTGAATTTCCATAGAGTGCGATCTTGACCCATTCAGAAAGTGGCACTCTTAAGCTCTCCATATTGATCTGGAAGCAAAACAGGAAAACATGTGAACATGACTACAATATGTTGATGGTATCAGAAAGATAAACGTTCCAATATCTGGTTGCAAACATATGGTGGAAGCTGTCTGGCATTGTGATAGTAAAGGTGAATACTGCATGTGGCTGAGAAGCTTCAGGGGAAAAGGCCATGAGGGGCTCAGTATTGGCACCACAATTTTCTTTTGTAATTATCTCATGGAATATATATATATATATATATATATATATATTGACCAAAGCCTTGCTCAAATAGGGTTAGAAGTAAATGCTTATAGAATTTGAGATGTAACATTCTGTTACCGATTTGGTGTTAATGTAATAGCGCAATGATCAATATTCTGATACAGTTCGCATGATTCACTTCTTTGTTTTGGATAAGGTCAAGGTGCCAACAATTTGATTCTTTAACTGAAGATATAGTGTTTCACACTGTTTCTTGGATGTGCTCAAGCTATCCAGTAATGGTCTATAACATCTCATCTCCGTGCAGCATGAATTAATTAACGAGTCATTGTATTTTGTTTTCTTTGCAATGATAAGTGTTAAAGATGGAATTCGGTCCCAGGATTGTTTTAACCAGTAATTGACATCTTTAAATGTTTTGGATTTTAGTGAAAGAAAAATAATTTAATTTGTAAATCATATACAAATGTCAATAATTTAATATGAAATGATAATATGATAATTCAATAAGAAACTCGTATGATAAAAAATAATAATAATAATAATTTAATAAATAAAATTATGCTTTAATCATATACAATATATCGCAATAACATACACAATAATAATGATATATAGATTTCTTCCAATAATTGATGGAGGAACCTTCTAGTCGTCATGTTTAATGATTTGTTAATCTTTGAAAGTAATCATTCTACCGCGGACATAGATATATTTATGTTTATCCATTCATTCATATATGTATAGAAAATATCGTGAGAGATCATATTTATTGTATTACTTATTACACTATGTTCATTGGTGGCTTCGCTTTATGATAGACTTTAGCTCCTTTCGCATTTGTAACATGGACCACTTAATATAATCATATGAACTACATAGTAATAATAATATTAATATCATCAATTTAATATAAAAAAAGAGAAAACTATTATTTTTAAATGATCCCTTCAAATAAAACTTTTAAGTATATCAAATCATAACATATGATATGAGATATCAAGCTCTCAATAGTACTCAATCAATCAAAATCCTAATTGAAATAACTTAATTGATTTGAATTAAACTTAATTCAATTAGGACTTAACGAACCAACATCAAATCTTTATATAACCGGTTTAGAATCATTGGTCTAATTTAGATTTGATTGATCTCAATTAGGTCAAATAGGTTTGAACTAATCCAGTTTATTTGGAATCACCCTAAACTAACTTAAATCGATTAAACTTGTTTGATTCAATCAACTAACAAGCTCAAGTTAATAAAGAAAGAAGAAATTGGACTATACTTAATGGAACAACATAGAATTTTCATATAACCAGTTTAGAATCATATTGGTCTAATTTAGATTTGATCGATCTCAATTAGGTCAAATATATTTGAACTAATCAAGTTGGTTAGAAATAACCATAAACTGACTTGAATCGATTAAAATTCAATCAACTAACAAGCTCAAATCAATAAAGGAAGAAGAAATTGAGAGATTGGACTATGTCACGTAGTATTAGCCTAGATCAAACTGACCCACTTGAGTCTTGAATGGATTATGTGCGCTACATATGTCTATCTTAGGTAGCAGGTTAGGCTGAGGTACAATGGGCTAGGTAGAGAGACAACGATGTATTTAACGTACAATGGGGTGAACCTTAGCCATGGGCTGTATTATGCTTGGTCACTTGACCTAGATTATACTTGGTCATATGGGTTAGATCGTACATGACTATATTTGACCACATGGGTTAGACTATACCTAGCCGTATGGGCTGAGTCATGTTTGGCTATATAGACTAAATTATATAGGACCATATGAGATGGATCATATCTAACCACATGAGTTGGACCATACCTAACTATATGAGTTGAATTATGTTTGATTATGTGTTATGTCATATTTGGTCACATAGGTTAGTCAAGCCAATCAACTTAACTAAGGTCAAACCCCAATTTGACTCTTCTTATTAAATTATATTTTATTTTTTTAAAATAATATTTTTTTAAATAATATTTTTTTTTAAAAAATTATAAATTAATAATTAACCTCAAATTTATTCTTTTCATGAATTAACTAATTTAACTTCGTGATTCCAAATTTAAACTAATTAAATCATAAAAATTCACATATAATTTCTCAAAACATAAATATGTCTAATTAAATAAATCAAAACTATTATTATATCAATTAATCATTCTAACATCATAAATCAATGATAATTATTTATTAATTATAAATTTTAAAAAATTAGAAATATTATTATATATCATATAAATTATAATAATATAATATTAAATATTTTAAAATATAAATAAAAATAGATTAAAAAAAGAATCTTATCTCCCCTCAAGATCCTCTCGTTAGGAAATATTCTCCTATTAAAATTGAGGGAGGGGGAGCCTTAGATGAGCTTTTTGAAGATGTACGTAATAATTTAATTTTTATTTTTATTTTACTTCATAAGTACAAAGATAAAATTATAATATTTATTTTTTATGACGAACACACAAAAATAGAATTTAAACAATTTACTTTCTAAATATCACATCATTTGTTAGGAAATAAATAAATAAATTATTAATTGATTGATAAAATTTTTAACTTATTCATGTAATTAAGAAAAATAATTGTAATTATTTCTTTAATCATATTACACAAATAAGAAACTTAATAATTTAAATAAAGTATCATATTATTTATGATAATTTAATTATATTAAGGAAGAAAAAAAAAACCATCGATGATTACATGTACCATCTTGATAATTTCATATAAGTAATGTCTCTAATGAATATTTCAGCAATATATATATACTACACATAAATTATCGACATCAAATATTCGTATTTATTTACCACGAATGCCATTAAGCAACCATAAAGTACTTATTGCTGCTCCTTCACATGCTTTCCAGCGAGGAAACAGACAAACCTGAAGCCATCGAACTCGACGCCACGCAACCCCCATCTTATTATTATTATTATTATTATTATTATCATCATCGCTGTTGATTGAGTTAATGAACCAACGGGTTGCGAAGCTTTCCCCCTTCTCCCTTCTTCGTTTGCGAGTCATCCCTCAGATCGTATTAGAGTAGAATCGGAGCGCGCCCCTCTTCCTGACGCCTCGATTGAAGTGGAGGAGATCGATGGAGAAGGACGGGAGCGGTGGGTGCCCGGCGATGGCGTTCCGGTACAACGGGACGCTATGCGCGTGCGAGCCGGGGCGGTACCTGGTGAACGGGAGCTGCGCGCTGTTCGAGACGGGCGGCGGGTGGGTGGTGAGCTCCGGGGTGTCGTCCGCGCCACCCACCTTCCTCACCACCGTGCTACCCGTCGACTCCATCAAGCGCTTCACGCAGTCGCAGGCCGTGCTGCTCGAGGCCACCCTCCTCGCGCTACTCGTCTGGCTCACCTTCTGCCTCGCGCTGCGCTTCACCCGGGTGGACGGCGGCCGCTGCCTCTGGTTTCGCCTCCGCTGGTGGATCAGCCGCTCCGACATGTTCTACGACACCAACCATTGGTTGGTCAGTATTTTTCCCCCTCCTTTCGGACCTCAAATTTTAGGTCGTCAATGTCGGATTCGTATTTATTACCTACCTTTTTAATATAATGATTTCGTGTCTGGTAATATGATGAGGTTAGACGTGTTCGGGAGTAAGATGGTTTGGCTTTGTTTGATTGACACCTACATATTTGGTTCCTTGCTTGCCTCGACATCATTGATGCCAGTCATACGATAGAAATGGCCTGTCTCCTTCTCAGTGGAAGGTGAGAAGATAAAGGTTGACCAAAAGTGCAAGGTGATTGCAAATGAAAATAAATTAGTTCAGCTCATGAGCTGCAAGTAAATTACCATCACAGTCTTGGTGCGTATAATTTGCTTTTCCCATGACAGTGTTTGGTAACTTCGTTAACTCCATGTGTACAGGGGCAACTGTATATGAAGTCGCATGGTAACTCCAGTCCATGGTTGCCCGTTGTGGAACCTTTTTGAGGTTGAGGTGCAATGACTCTAAAAGGTGAGCTAAATTGCAGTGGGGAGGACAGACCCAATAGGTCTTGATGGAAAAAGAAAAAGAAAACTGAAAAAGAGTAGTGTGATCTTAGGGTTATCACAGGGTATAGCCTAGTAATGTGGAATCATTGAAAAGGTGCATTGTGACCTGACACAAATAGTTGGGATTAAGAGGCTTGTTGTTACCATTGTTGCATTGCAGTATGTTTCTATCCTTTGAATAGCTCAAGTGGTCCTAATTATCATCATTGGCCATCCCCATGATTTTATGACTCGTCTGATAAATCCAGTTTAACTTCTGAAAAAGGCCATTTTCAAGGTCCCTTCTTCTAGGAACCTGGTTCAACAGAATTTACAAGACATTTAAAAATACTTGTATTATGTGGGTTCGGGCATACAAAAATACTAGGTATGAATTACTTGGTTAACATTAGATTGGTCAAACTAGATTGGATTCTGGTACCATGTTATATATTATATATTTATGAAAATGTAGTATATTTTAGTATGCTCTATATGCTTCACAAAACACATGAGTCTGGATATAAGTTGATATAAGTTGATAAAAAGAAAGGCAAATTGAGTACATATTATTATTTTGTTACGGAAAATCCAATGTGGGTTGTCTTGGGAATTGTGGGTTATTATTTTAATAGCTATGATATCTGAGAATCTGGTTTGTAGTTAAGGTACGAGTTTGATAGTTTGACAATATGACCAAGTGGTGACTGAACCAAACTTGATGCTGAAAGAGCACCTGTCTTTTCATTGTGAAATCTTTCCTCTCTAGCCTATCGATACACTTCAAACTTTCAGAGTGGGTGGATAATGCAATATACATTATAATGTTACAATTTTCTATGGAAGGTGGGAATATGTAATGAAGGCTGGTGTTGGATTCTTGGTCGACAGTTCACAATATTAAGGATTGGGGGGTCCAAGGGAACTTACCTAGAATTGGGGTTCAACAATTCACAATATGGCTTTGTTAGAAAAATGATGGTGGGAACTCATGGGCAAGAGATCTCATGGAACAATCTGGTACTGAGTAAACATCTAACTAGGAAATTTCTTGGTACAACTAAGCAAGATGAAACCCATTCATGCCACTTCAGACAGGAAACGTCAATTATGGCATTAAAATATAGAGTAAATTTTTTACTTAAAATAGCTATCACAACTAACTATAGATTTGCATGGAATTTCCTTTTCACTTGCATGTGGAGGGAGATCTACTAGACTAGAAACACCAGGATCTTCCGGAGTATTAGCAGTAGAATGAGAAATTTTATTATTATTATTTTTTAGAAAAAATTATATTTCGAAGAATAAGCTTAAGCAATTCAGAACCTCTTATAATGTACTATACTGCTCATAAGAAGTGTATGTCAAGTGTAACTTTCCTTTCCAACTTCCTGTTGCTACTCTCCCCCTACTTCTTATTTCATTGTTTTAACAAAGTATGCTGGTAGCCACCACTTTATCTTTGCATTAAAACTTTTTGTTTAATATTTTCTGTATGCATTTGAATTATATGATTGATTGTTATGTTTCATTAAGTTTCAGATATAATAATTGTACATTGTCCAATTTGCACTTAACGTATCTTTATGTACTAAATACTGTGTCCATAGAGTTTGACAATTTCTCAACACACTAGCAAACAAACTATATGCCATGTCCACAAATACTAATGTTTAAACTTTAAACCAAGGTTTCAAATACTGGTTTGACCAGGATGTATCAATTGGTTTTCTGGTTTGACCAAGTACTGGTATGGATCATATAGGTTGGCTCAGTACAATGTTATTGTACCTGTTCAACTGATTGCCGTAATCAGTATCAGTCTGAAAATTAAAATCTAGATATCCTTTCACTAGTGTGCCAAGGTGTATCATACCACATGATATGTACTAGCTTGATGGATTTGTGGGATAGTACCAATTGGTAGTTGATTCCTTTCTTCATAGAATTTCTGTGAAAGTCCTTTCTGATACTTTCTTCATAGGAATTAGTGTGTAAACTTTTACATCTTGGCATATTATTTATACAAATAGAGATATACGTTATCTTCATTATTTTCCTTACATTGTAGTATTGCTGCTGATTGCCTGGAATTCTTAAATTCTGCTTGCCGATAGCTGAACTTGTGCACTTCTAATTGCAATTTAATACACAACAAAGTGACATAACATGCACTTAGGAAGATGGTTTATGTAATGTGGCTTTTGTTTGTTACTTTCTGATACAGGATGACAACAAGGCAGTGATAAAGAGGAAAACAGAGCTGGGTGGAACATTTTCTGTAGCAAGCTCAATACTTTTTGTTGGTCTATTGTCAGCGTAAGTGTGGATGCCTTCCTCTACTTGAAAATGTCAAGTTCATTAAAGGATTGATAATTTGGTCAATCATGTTTAATTTATTCATGCAAAATTTTATCCTTGTTAGCAACATTGTAAGGTGAAAAAGCTCTCTTGTGACAGGTTGCTGTATCAGATTATTACAAAGAGGAGCATTGAAGTGCATAGAGTCCGACCTGCGAATGCTCCAGATTTACTTTCATTTGTCAATGACTTGGAATTTAGTATAACCACTATTTCTAGCATGAGCTGTTCTCATTTACGTGGCCCTGATTCGCTGGTGATTGGAACTCCGGGCTCTATTGACTATAGAGTTTTTCCTTTGTCAACTTATGTTGAATATAATTGCCACAACACTAGCAGTGGCCCTATCATATCTCTTAGGTGCAACAGCTGTCAGATTCCTCGAAGAAATCATTATATTTCATGGCAGTTTGTTGACCTCCGAAATGATCCTGCTGCTGCTGTTGGCTTCCGGTTCAACCTTTCAGCAAAGGACCATGCTAATAATAGGCATGTTAGCTTCGTTAGCGGTACAGTGAAATCAAATACCTATACAGATGATAAGCCCAAAACCTTCAGAGGGTCAGATGTCAACGTATTGAAAATCCATTTGTTTCCCCAAGCATATAACAATTTGAACCTCATACAACCTCTATTTCATGACTTTATCCCTGGAACATTTTTTTCTAAGTCTAGTGACCTCCAAGCCTCCCTTCAAGTTTCCAAGGACGGTTTAGTCAACACCACGCTGTACATAAGTTATCTTTCTGATTACATCGTCGAGATCGACAAGGAAAACATGATTGGAATTGGTAAGATAATTATTTTTTGTATATAGTTTTAACTGTTCTTCTGATTAAATTATCCATGCATATTTTTGAACACCCCTATCTTGTTTAATCCTATTGAAAACTGACCAGTTCCAAATATAAAGTAAATCATTCTATTGGTTATGTAGATTGATATAGGTCATCACTATGGTGGAGTCTGAGGTTTTATATTGTCCTTTATTATGATGGAATCAGTGTTTTTAAAAATGTTAGGTGCTAAGGTCCCAAAACACCTGAGGCGCTAAGCGCTCTAGAATATTAAAATCTAAAAATATATATATTACAATTGATAAATAAGATCTTGAAAATAAAAATGATACATCAATTTGAAATCATATAAAATACCAAATTGCATTGTTTATCTTCTAATAACAAAAATTTTAAAACAATGAAGTTTAACGCCAAATTCGATGAAATATGCTAAATAGGGTTTTGTTGATGGAGACCATGCTAAATAGTGTTTTCAATATGGTGCTAAACATTTCTAACTCCTAATAGAGTAATAGTGCACCACCTCAATATGATGCAACAAGTTAATCAAAATAAGAAAGAACGAACTAAAAAGAGAAGCAACCGACGGTTGTGGAGGAAGGTGGGGGAAGGAGAGGGCGGCGGACGAAGCTGCGGAAGGCGACAGTGGTGGCGGACGGAGTTGCAGACGAATGCAACTGTGGCAGATGAAGTTGTGGACGAAGGCGGCGATGGTGGCCAAAGCTATAGTGACGGACGAAGGTAGTGGCAATAGACGTAGGCGTTTGCTTTCAGATTTGTCTCATTGGGTTGGGCACGAGATAGGAGAGGGGGCGTTAGGGGGTTGTCATGGGGTACGTTAGTTGGTTCAGTGGAACCATGTTGCTCATTCAATTGAACCATGCTTGAAGCTGACCAAACTTGGCTTGGGCACTCGCTCAAGGTGCCCTGTGCTTAAGCTCAGGTGAGTGCCCGAGTGGCGCTTCATTGAAACGTTTTGCCTCGACATTTTGCTAGGTGCTCGCGCCTCGCCCGAGTGCCTTCTGAAAACACTAGGTGAAATTATTCAACATACACTATGCACTTTGTTCCGAACCCCCACATTGGGGGAAGCCTCATGCACTAGTTACACCTTTTTTATATTGTGCACTTTGTGAATAGAAGAACTTGCAAACTGGTCTCCTGGCGGCTTGCATGGTAACTCAGTGATCCTTGAAGTTATATGTATTAAATGTTTGTGTTTGACATGCACCATGCTAGCTACTTTGACTGTTCTATGCACATTGTGTTGATAGATAGTAAAATTTTTTACAAGGATTGCAATTTTGAGAACCAGACCCATGCCGATTGCCAACTGAACTGGTATGGGTCCAGTACTAGCTAGCATACATACACACTAGTATGCCAGTATATACCACAATGCTAGAAGGAGAGAGGAGGAAAATAAGAGGAAAAGGAGAGTAAGAGGAGGAGGTGGAGGTAAAGAAGGAGGACGAGGAAGAGGGGAGGAGGACGAGAGTTGGTAAAGAAGTACCTGATATCACAAAATTATTTTTTCCAAGGTTGGTATACCATCGGGTATATCGATACTGTTAGTTTGACCGATTGCCAAAATCAGTGTCGGACGGAGTTTATTTAGGTTCTTGATTGAAAGAACTCGTACTGTAATTTTCCACAGGAACAATGCAACAATTTCAGGGTAATGGTTCTTGAATTGCTGAATGCAGGAAATTACATAAATTTGTAACAACAAGGAGCAATCTTCTGTTGTTAACTTTTCCTAAATATTAATTTACTTGGTTCATTTGATGGAAGAACAGATCCTTTATTCTTTTTTACATGGCCCATGGATTTCTTTCTTAATTTTTGTGGTTTTATGTTCAATCTTTTGATCAAAATTATATGTTCTGCACAGTTATGAGTTCTGTTTGTTCATTATTTGCAGTGGGGTTCCTTGCGGATGTTGGAGGTCTTTTCACTTTTAGCCTTGCAATTTTCCTTTGGTTCTTGATTCAGGTAATTTCATTTATGATTCACATTCTTTTGTTATAACAGCATACGTTTACATCATCTACTGTCTATCATGTAAATTTTAGCTTATATTCTTAAGCTCCTTGAATGATTTTATTGGGGTCTTGTGTAAATAAGCCATGTAGGTAAACCTTGAAGATGTCAACGTAATCCACATTTTAAGTCTAACTGGAGTTGTGAATCTTGTCTTGGGCATGAGCCCTAGTGGCATAAACGCTAGCTCATTGGATGTTCCATACTCAATTCTGTAAATGTGATATGTTGGAAAAAAAATTTCTTTAGTTAAGCCAAAGAGATTAGGTGCCTGTACAATATAATATTTGTGATACAGATACAACTGCCATTTTTCTCGGTGAACTATTTGGACCACTCTGTCCAAGTACATTTTTGGGTAGTATGTCATTGGCTTGATGCTCGTTATGGTATCTAGATATATTGAATAATTTTGCTTCCTGGATTCTACATATGAACTAATAATAGTGTGTACAAGTTTCTAGAAATGATGTGTTACATGTACATATTCCCTTACTGTTTTGTTCACCTAAATCATATGACATATTTCTGTTTATAATTTTTCACCTAAAGTACATTACCATTTGGTCTGAGCCTCTGAGCATCTATTATTTATGATTCTTTTCTAATACTGACAAGTGATGACAATAACCAAGTTGGTGAACTAAATGAACAAACATGTCTCTTGGTCCTCAAATTGAGATTTCTTGCATCTTAATTCTTATGCGTGCTTGATTGAATAAGAAGCTATCAGGTATACATAGCAAATAGCATTGGTACCTCCTGTTCTGCAACTATTTTGGTCATGAAATGGTTTGTACTTGGCCCTAGGTGATATGCCTGGTACATTTTGAATATCAATCCTCGGTCTGGAGTTTAATAGGTTCGAAGTATAACCTCGTGTATAATAGGTTCTGAAATCTTGTTTCTGTGTATGAGATCATGTGACTCTTTTCCACATTGAGTGTAACTCAATTTTCACTCTTAGAATTATTTGATTGAATACATTTCTAATTTTACCTACTAGATGTGTGCAATGTGCATCAATTATGTGTTTTGCAGTATATCATAATTTGTGGATCACACCTTTTTCCCTTTTTCAAAGTTTCAAACTAGGGTGAGATGTGTCATCATATATCATTGTTGTTGCACACAGATAAGACAGTAAGAACTCTGAGCACATGTGTTGATTCTTTCCCATGATGTTACAATGGCTATTGCTGGTTAAATAACAGCATCTATGTGGACGTTGCTTTTGATATTTATTCAGGAGCTTTATTGAGCTTGTTACGGAGGTAATTGTGTATATGCTATTTGTAGTCATTATTAGTTATCTTGCGCAATCCTTCACTCTAGACCATTGGAACTTTTCATCCACTGTTGCATGTATCAGGTTTTTGTGACAGCTTATCCTTTGTACTACTCTTATATGATAGTTTCTGGTCAATTTAGCTAACTGCCAACATCTTGCACTTCATTCTATGTCACAGTGTGAGGCTAGAATCAAGAAACTTCGCTACGAGGATACTGCAATGAGAAATATCCTTAGACAAAGACGTGCACAAAAGAATTGGGATAAGGTAAATCAGCAGATTAAAGTTGCAGATATAGATCTTGCGGTATACCTAACATTTGTTTTATACTTAACCAGCTGAGGAAATTTGTTATGTACACATGGGGTCCAAGCAACTTGGTTGAGGATAACAATAAATCTAGAAGGCATGGCACCTTGATGATTGAATCTATCCATGGAATTCAAGCATTCCAAAGTAAAAAGCAGCCAAGTAGGCATAATTCCACACACCTTGACACTGCAAAAGGAAATTCTCCACATTCAAAGAGTAGACAGGTAAGGGATCTTTTGTTCGAAATCCTGCTGATGAAATGCTGTTCATTGTAATTTCCACTCAAATACTTGATATTAGAGTTAAAGATCTCAACTTTATTTATTTATCATACTAACTCAATTATGTACTTGTTTATCTTAGTATATATCTGTGTAATTAGTTATTTCTAACCAATATTATTACTTTACAATTAGTATATTGTTCATTTGTCGCTGTATATTGAATACTCTATATTAGATAATTAATGCATTAATATGTTATTGTATGATTATTTATAATTAGTTATGATATTACATCGTTATATATGTTATAGGTTATGTTTTATTACACAAACCTTTGTATCTAATAATGTCTGAGATAATAGACATTATTGTATCAATATGTTATGTCGAAATATTTTTATATTATGATTATGGCAATTATGATCACCAGTACCTCTTTTAGAAGTTTGATTCCAATTCTGGAGTCCATGAAGCAAATTTCAGCAATTTGGCCAAGATTCTGAATCTAATAAATTTCAGTTTTAAATCTGATAATGAAGTAGATCATCAACTGAACATGAAACATATATGACTATGGAACATGTTGGAATTTAATTGTCTCTACTTTGCTTGTTTGTAATTTAGTAATTTTTTTATTATCATTCTTCTCAACTTCTGAAGGTCTTTGAATAGGAGAAGCATGACATTGAGGAAGAGGAAACTCGGCAACGCAATATATCAGAAATTTCACAGTAATTTGGTACTGATGACAGATTGCTTTGACCTGACCATGGTAAGCAACTATCTAAATATCATTAAATAGGTTGCATCTGTCAGGGCCTAGATTGGATCTTAATTTCCAGCCATAAATTTTTTCTAAAGTCTACCATTGACTATTTTAATTTAGAGGTTTAACTTATGGCTAATCACTTATAATTGAGGAAACACTTGGATAACAATAATGATGAGCTGTAGTCTGTTAAACCTATAGAAATTTAGCTCTTCATATTCACACTTCCAAGCACTTCAACATTTTCATCACTAATAGCCTACTAATGATTGCATCATCGTCACCATTCCTCCCGTAAAAATTATGAAAAGACAAGAAAGTAGCAAGAATTAAAAAAAAAAGTTGTTTGGACTGGAATGTGAATTGGTGAAGTTTAGCATTGTTGTGAATTTGTGATTATACCTTGCCACTTGGTTGGCAAGAGTTTGAGTCATGCTTCTATACTAATTGGGGAAAATGTATGTTGGCTATATCCAGATCTCGTATTGCCTGGAGCCTTATGTTGACTTCTGATCATTCCTTTCCAGTGTCATTCAACAGTACAAGTTTCGGCATTCCTGTTTGGTTTAGTCTTTGGATCAGAATGAAGAATGGTCTATAGAGTCCGTATCATTTCTGTTTGTTTTGTTTTAAGCTATATAGAAGGAAGAAAACTACCTAACTGTTTACTGCCTCCTCATACTTGCCTTATTCTCCCAACTTGTTATCTATTCTTAGTATTCCTGCTTTAGTCAAAACTCAAATATTAAGGATACTTTTAACTGCTGCTTCAGTCATTCTAGCTCCATGACAACCATTGGAAAAAGATGCAAGCTAATATGTGAGATGACGTGAACCAGGTGCAGTTAAGCCAGTGTTTAAGGATGACCATTGTGAAGTCCCTATTTGGTACGTGAAGCATATATGTCCAAGGGAGATGGCAACACAGGCTTGTGGGTGCTCAGTATTCTCCATCAACTTATTCTGTTTTATGTGCACAAGAGATCTCTTGACCAGAACGAAACTGAGGTAAGCTATCACTCCAGAAGTTGCCATCGGTGTGTATTCATGCGTGTAACATGGTTTTGGAGAAGCAAGCAATGATGATACAGGGATTGATGTTGTTCGAAAAAAGAAGAAATTCATTGTATCGATTCATTTTTGCATGTATTGTAGTGTTATATATTCATGTGTGTAACATGTTTTCGGAGAAGCAAGCAATAATGATCCAGGGATTGATGTTGTTCGAAAAAAGAAGATATTCATTGTATCGATTCATTTTTGCATGTATTGTAGTGTTGTCTATTCATGTGTGTAACATGTTTTTGGAGAAGCAAGCAATAATGATCCAGGGATTGATGTTGTTCGAAAAAAGAAGATTTTCATTTTTTCATGTACTGACCGTAGTGTTGTATGAATATCCATTGGATTGATTGTTGTATATTCACAACATCCGAATGTATCACAAGTATGCACGATTTCATTGTTGTGTCATGCAGTAGTTGCTTTCCTCTAAGAATTAGTGGAAGCCAAGAACAAGATAATATCCCAGCTGATAAGCTTTACTTTCCTGTGAGAATTAGTGGCATTCCCAGAAAGGTTCTTACGAGATTTTTACAGTACTATCGATGATCTTCACATGTATTAAGAATTTAATTAAGATATGGGTAGGAATAAAATGAATAATTGAACCCCCAAAAAAAGTCAATATTATTTATGTGACCTTCTCATATACCTAAAAGTTAAATATAATTTTTTTAAAAAATATTTTATTTTATTTTATTTTATAATATAAATGATAAGTGGTGAAGACAAGATTCTGAGTTCAAGATTTTTTATTAACTAAGCTAGTTGTTGATAAGAAGTCAATTAAATGTAGTGTTTTATCTATTTACCAATTTCACTAATCTAAAGTTGAGGTGAACTTTGTTAGATTATGACAATATCTTAGGACAAAAACTTGTCTTCATTGATCCTTTGTTAAAAAAATAAAAATAAAAATAAAAAATAAAATGTCAACGTGCTATGCGTTTAAGATCTCGATCATAGTGAGAGTATACTGTCACGAACGGTCGACGCGCACCTGCAACAACTTCATTCAACGAACCGTTCGTCGCTTTTGTCTATATGTACAAATGCTTGACAGCATGTTTTGTCGTAATTTTGTGTTCTTTTGCTTGTAAAAATACAAGTTCAAACATGTTGTAGCGCTATAGTGTGACCACTCACTGCACCGAGCAAAACAGCCCACAATGGCTCCGTTTTTGCATGCCACGTGCTATTTTCTGCAGTCCGCTGTCGCGCGCGAAACGTTAGCCATCTCAGCACCCTGGAACCACCCGGGTGGCACCATGGGGGATGAGGCTTCGGTATAGTGTCGGGCATTGAACAATCTTCACAAGTTCGCATGTTTTCTTGACGGGAACTTGTCTTCGCGCTCGGCACCCGGTGAGCAGATATTTGTGGACTTGCAGTTGCTCATTCAACCTTCTAAAGTCCTTGTTTTTCTCCTTTCTCTGCTTTCTCTCATGTACTCAAGGTGCTCGCTAAATTGCTTGTAAAGCTTCCCTCTTCGCAAGACGTCGGGACTTGTCTATCGCTCGTTCTTCGAACTAATCAACTCTCTTTTACAAGTCCTTAGTGAGGTTGCAAATTGGTTGACCATTGCGGACGCATATCGCAAGAGCGTGTCAAGACTTAAGCAATCCCAGCTAAGTCCGAGAAATTGACGCATGGGTGCTTCACAACTTAGGCAACGCAAGCTAAGTTCACGTCTTGGCCACAAAGGTGCCTCACAACTTAGGCAATTCCAGCTATCTGTGACATTGTGGTATCAGAGCCAGCAAGCAATTTGAGCAAGCAGTGAAGGAACTTCGCAATTTCACCATGGCAAAGCATCGTGGCGAATCAAGCAAGGCAGGGCAAGCCGGACCTTTGCCCCAAGCAACCGCAGGCGGGCTGCAAGTGCAAACTCACTCTCATGTCATTGGAGCCACTTTGGAGGATCGTGATAGCGAACATGATGAGCGAGAAATTGGCTATTCTCCGCGAGCGGAGGAGGCGCAATGTGGAGCATCAACCGGGAAGAAGAGCCATAAGGAGAGACTCACAACAACGGAAACCCGCTTGGATGTTCTTGAAGTGAGCTTGGAGAAACTCTACTAATGCCAGCGAAGGCTTCTTGGGGTAGAGAGCTCATAAGAAGAAACTAAATCCCGAATCGACAAAGTCGAGGCCCTAGTCGATCGACTGTCGGATAACACCAAAGACTCCATGCAACATCTGCAAGAAGTCATGGCAGAACTCACTTCTAGGGTGACCATGCTCACAAGGACATGAATGCAGGAGGAAGCAATACCCGCGTTGCGCTGCCACAAAACTTGAGGGCACCCGAGGCGCATTGTTATAGAGGTGCCCGAGATGCTAAAGAGCTCTAGAATTTTCTGTTCGACATGGAATAATACTTTCGAGCTACGAGGCCTGATTATGAAGAAACCAAAGTTTCGATAGTAACCAAGAATTTGAATGAGGATGCAAAACTTTGGTGGCAAACCCGTTGAGAGGAGATCCAACAAGGTCGGTGTTGGGTGGACACATGGGAGGACTTAAAGCAAGAGTTAAGATCTCTATTTCTAACTGAGAACACAGAGTTCGTCGCAAGGAGAAAGCTGAGACAACTTCTCCAAAGTACTTTCATCCGAGACTATGTGAAGTAATTTTCTACGCTAATGCTGGACATACATGACATATCCGAGAAGGATAAGCTATTCAGCTTCCTCCATGGTTTGAAGCCATGGGCGCAATAAGAACTACATCGAAGGAATGTCACCGATGTGATCGGGGCAATTGCTACCGCAAAAAGGCTCGCCAATTTTGTTTCCTCTGAGGACATGGGAAAAAGGAAACAATCTTCAAGAAATTGCCCTCCAAAATATTCTCGAGGGAAGGAGTCCGGGGGCGAATAAAGGAAGAAAAGTTTCCACAAAGGGCCAAGCTCAAAAGGCAAGGCCCCGAAAATTGGTGGATGCTTCTTTTTGGAGGGCCGCACATGGTGAGGGAGTGCTAATAGAAACAGGCACTCAATGCTTTAACAGCTTCAATCCATCCCCCCAAATCAAACAAGGGAAAAGCCGTCGCCCTCAGTTCAAGCAGTTCAGAATCTAGCAACAACGATGAGGAGTCGCAAGGTCCCCAAATGGGAGCAATGCGTTTGTTGAATGCATTATGGGGTCAAGTAGGGGAGAACATGAAGTCAAAGCCATTGAAAGTAGGGAGTAGCGAGCTAATGTATGTGGATATTAAGCTCAATGGTCAAACAACTCGTGCAATGGTGGACATGGGTGCTACCCATAACTTTATTATCGATCAAGAAGCAAAACTGGGCTGATCTTGCAGAAGAACCCAAGTCGGATGAAGGCGGTGAACTCGGAGGCCAAGCGGATTTCCGGGCTAGCAAAAGGAGTCCCCATCAAGATTGGAACATGGAGCAGGAGTACGAACATGATGGCGGTGCTATTGGATGACTTCCAAGTGATTCTTGGAATGAAGTTTATGCACACGACAAAGTTGGTGCCAATATAGTTCCTAAACTCCCTATGTATGATGGGAGGTGACGACCCTTATGTGGTTCCCATCTCTCGGAGAGGAACCAAGGACCCCCAACAGATATCGATAGTACAACTGAAGAAAGGGGTAAGAAAAGGTGAATTAACATTCGTGACTGCTATGAAGCTAGAGCCACTCGACGAGAAGGTCATTCATGAACCTACTATGGTGGCAAACGTCCCGAAAGAGTTCACAGATGTTATGCTGCCCGAGTTTCCGAAGACTCTATCACCACGCAGAGGCATAGATCATTATATCGAGTTGGAGCCAGGAGTGAAGCCTCCAACGATACCACCCTACCGCATGCCCCCTCTAGAGTTGGCAGAGCACAGAAAGCAGTTAGGTGAACTGCTAAGCGGTGGTTGTTGAGAAATCTGGGGGGCGACATCACATGCACAGCGGAAGAACAAGAAAAACAAAATCCCCTATTCCCAAAGAGATGTTCATCTTCGTGCAAAGATTGGTGCACAAAATCCGTGAAACTTAAAACTGCATATAGAGTAGATTGTGTTACCTAGGGAGATCGTATATCCCTGTTTCCTTGCAGATCTTTAGGAGAGGGTGAAGGAGGTCAAGCGTCCTCCTCTCTAGCGGTGATCCACACAGCAGAGCTACGACGACGCTCCTCAAAACTCCAGGCCTGCTCTGAGGTGGAGAGGGGGAGGAGAATAGGAGAGGCAAGTAAAGGCTCTAGCGTTTGAGGCTCTGAATCCCTCCTATTTATAAAGACCCCCTGTCAAAACCTAATGGATCCTCCCCTAGTGGGTATTCGATATGCATCCAATTATCCAAGTCTTTTAGATTAGTGGATCTCTTTCCAATAATCTCTCATGAGCTCTTATTGGATCTCGTCCATGGGATCCAATAATTCAGGGGCTTATTGGATATCCAATAAGATAGGAGCTCTAGCGGATATCTCATATCTGAACCTCTACTCATCGCAATGCCTACCAAACGTATGTGACCCTCTAGGCCTAATATCGAGCTGGCCGTGAGTCATACCTGTCAGAACTCCTTCTAACTTAGTAAATTATTATCTATGTAATAATTCACTCGACTCATCGACTACGGAGGTACTAGGCCACTATGTCGTAGTCCCCAAACGATACAGGAGAATCCAATCCATTGGACCTGTCTGTCCTCAGTTACCGTATACTTATAGTCTCTCATCCATCTAATATCCTAGAGACCGTATATCAAGCATGGTGCTGTCAGACCCATACGGTTTCTACTCGAGTCTCGCTCTAATTGGATTCTCCCGGAAAACTCTTTCTCTCTCAACCCGAATGACCCTGGCAAGGGATTTGTTTGAGCAAGAACACATGAGATATTCCTCTCATGACGCCGAGTGAATGATCCTCTATTGACACTCAATGGGCCTCGTAAGGTCGACTGCCACTCCCAATGACCAACTGTACTAGATTTGAGACATTTAAACCTATAAGTCTGGTATCAAAGAGTGGAGCACTCATACAAGACATCCTTAGTGTCTCAAGTCTAAGGACCAAATACACCACTAGGATTATGGAATTGCTGTCTAAAAATAAGGCATCATTAACCATCCAGCATTCCGTAAGCGGATCAATCAGTGAACTCATTCTCCAATGAGCACCTGTATTGTATCCCTAGTGTCCCCACATGAGTAGTTATGAGACCAGCTGCATCCATCATATAGATGAGTATATAACACATCAGTCTGTCCGGTTATCACGATGTCCCTCTTGAGTAACCTATGACCAGGATTATTTATGATCTGTGTTTAAAAGTGAATCGATCTCATTATCGTGATCTCATCATGATTCGATTCCCATTGCACAGATCCAAGGATATCACAATATATACATGTATATATGCAATAGTTAATATAAAGTGATAAATGACAAAATATAATAAGCAAAAAAAGATTCTATGTCAAGTCACACGTGTCATCACTCACGTGATTGGCTTGCTGGGCACCTATGACTAGCAGTGGTCTCATCCGTAGTTCTAAGGTACCATTCGGAGCTCTAGTTCTCTTCCAAAAGAAACAAGATGGGAGCCTTCGATTATGCATCGATTATTGAGCCCTCAACAAAGTGATGGTGAAGAACAAGTATCTAATCCCACTCATCATGGACTTATTCGACCAATTGGGCAAGGTCAAGTATTTCTCCAAACTTGACCTCCGGTCGAGGTACTGGCAGATACGCATTGCTGAAAGAGATGAAGCAAAGACTACATGCGTGACCAGGTATGGAGCGTTTGAGTTCTTGGTGATGCCTTTCGGCTTAACCAACGCTCACCAACGCTCCGGCCACGTTCTGTACTCTTATAAACCAATTATTCAAAGAATATTTGGATAAGTTTGTGGTCGTCTACTTGAACAATATCGTTATCTACAGCCAAACGCTCGAGGAGTATGTCAAGCACTTTCAGACAATTTTCAAGGTTCTCAAGGAGAACACTTTGTTCGTGAAGAGGGAGAAGTGCTACTTTGCTCAAATGAAGATCTTGTTTTTGGGGCATCGAATCAGTGGTGGTTCCATTCAGATGGACTAATCAAAGGTGCAAGCTATTGCGGAATGACGAACTCCAAAGAAGGTGCCAAAGTTGAGATCCTTCATTGGTTTCGTCAACTACTATCGATGCTTCATAGCGGGGTATTCAAAGCGTGCAACTCCACTAATGGAGTTGCTGAAGAAGGAGCAACCTTGGAGGTGGTCAGACAAATACGAAGCTGCATTCCTATATCTGAAGGCTACTGTGTTGGAAGAACTAGTGCTTAAATTATCGGACTATGGGGAGCCCTTCGAAGTCCATACAGATGCTTCAGACTTCGTTATTAGGGGAGCACTCATGCAAGAGGGTCATCCGGTGGCCTACGAGAGCCGCAAGCTCAACAAGACCGAGCGACGGTATTCGGTACACGAGAAGGAGATGACAATGGTGGTCCACTACCTATGAGTTTGGCAACACTACCTTCTTGGATCACGATTTGTGCTGAGGACAAACAACATCGCTTTGAGCCATTTCTAAACTCAGAAGAAACTCTCTTCAAAGCAAGCACGATGGCAAGACTTCCTGGCTAAGTTTGATATAGCAATGAAGTATAATCCTAGAAAAGCAAATATCGTGATCGATGCATTGAGTCAGAAAGTGAAGCAAGTGAATGTCATACAGTTGGAGGGCAGAGGCCAAGCAAGTCAATTGCACTCCAACTTTCTTTCCAAGATCAGGGATGGACTATATAGTGATCCCCAAGTAGTAATCTTGATGTAACTCATCAAAGAAGGTAAGACACAATGATTTTGGGTCCAGGAGGGACTCGTTTATACTAAAGGGAATATGATTTATGTCCCCCGAGTGGATAATTTAAGGCGTGAGCTCTTAAGAGAGTGTTACGATTCCCTTTAGGCTGGACATCTGGGCATTCACAAAACTTTGGCTCTCGTGGAGAGGGCCTTCCACTGGCCGAAGATGGGGGCTGATGTGGAGGAATATGTTCGAACGTGCCTTACTTACCAATAAGACAAGGTGGAGCAGCGGAAGCCGGTGGGACTTTTGGGGCCGTTGCCTGTACCAGAAAGGCCGTGGGAGAGCATTTCCTTGGACTTCATATTAAGCTTACTAACAGTCGGGGGACTCGAATTGATACTTATGGTGGTCGATCGATTTTCAAAATATGCAACTTTCATTGCTGCACCCCTACACTGTTCAACAGAGGAGGCGGCTAAGCTGATGATGAAGAATATGGTCAAGTATTAGGGAGTCCCACACAATATCATCAGTGGTCGAGATGCTCGGTTCCTAGGACGATTCTTGACCGAGCTATTCAAATTGTTGGGGTCTAAGTTATACTTCTCCATAAGCCTCCAACCCCAGACGGACGACCAAACCGAAAGGATAAACTCGCTCCTAGAGTAATATCTTCGGCACTACATGAGTGCCAACCAACGAGATTGGGTGAAGCTATTGTACATAGCCCAATTCTCCTACAACTTACAGTGGAGCTAGAGCCCCTTCGAGATCATTATAGGACAACAACCGTCAACTCCTCACACCTTGCCTATTGGATATACTGGGAGTAGTCTGTCAGTATATCACTTTGCAAAAGAATGACACCGAAATGCAGATATTGCGCGGGCTTACTTGGAGAAGGCAGCCAAAAAGATGAAGAAGTGGGCAGACTTGGGAAGGCGACCATAGGAGTTTAAAGTCGACGATTTGGTATTGGTAAAGCTCCAACCAGCATCACTCCAATTCTTTAGGAACAAAGTACACAAAGGATTGGTGTGCAAGTATAAAGGGCCCTTCCCAATTATAAATAGGGTAGGCAACGTCTCCTAGAGGTTACAGCTATCGGCGTGGCTCATAATTCACAATGTTTTTCACGCCAGCAACTTGAAGGCCTACCACTCAAATCTGCAAGATGCTTCCCAAAGTGTTCCAACTCGGCTACCCCCCACTAGAGCCTCCTACGAGAAGCAAGTTAAAACCATTTTAGTATATCGCAAGATAAAGCTACCAAATGGAGCCGAGCAGACCGAGTACTTGGTGAAGTGGCGAAAGCTTCCCTAAATCGAAGCTCGTTGGGAGCCCGAAGACGCCCTTCGACATGCAGTCATCAACGACTACCAACAAGCATCGATAAGGGCATCGACAGTTTAAGTGGGGGAGAATGTCATGAACGGTCGGCACGCACCCGCAACAACTTCGTTCAACGAACCGTTCGTCGCTTTTGTTTACATGTATAGATGCTTGGCAACATGTTTTGCCTTGGTTTTGTATTATTTTGCTTGTAAAAATGTAAGTTCAAACGGGTTGCAGCGCTACAGTGCGACCGCTCACCGCACCAAGCAAAACAGCCCAAAATGGCTCCGTTTTTCCATGCCATAGGCTGTTTTCTATAGCCCGTTGTCGCGTGCAAAATATCAGTCATCTCAGTACCCTGGAACCACCCGGGTGGCACCATGGGGGATGGGGCTTCGGTATAGCGTCGGGCGTTGAACAATCTTCACAAATTTACACGTTTTCTTGACGGAAACTTGTATTCGCGCCCGGCACCCGATGAGCAGCTGTTTGTGGACTTGCAGCTATTTGTTCAACCTTCTAAAGTCCTTGTTTTCCCCTTTTCTTTGTTTTCTCTCATGCATTCAAGGTGCTCGCTGAATTGCTTGTAAAGCTTCCCTCTTCACAAGACGTCGGGACTTGTTTGTCGCTCATTCTTCGAACTAATCAACTTTCTCTTATACAGGTCCTTCGGGACCTAAATGAGGTTGCAAATTGGTTGACCTTTACGGACGCACATCGCAAGGGCACGTCAAGACTTAGGCAATCCCAACTAACTCCGAGAAGTTGGCGCACGAGTGCTTCGCGACTTAGGCAACGCAAGCTAAGTTCGCGTCTTGGCCGTAATGATACCTCACGACTTAGGCAATTCCAGCTAAATCCGTGACAATACGGTTCGTATTCGTTGGTCCAACATAATATCGGTATCAAAATATAAAGGTACTTAAATCTTTATTGTTCAATTTGATAGTACCAAGTGGTGTAATTTTATTAATTCTATTATACTCTACCAGTAACGTAAGCTTATCAAAATCGGTATCAGAAAGATACTTAAAATCCTTAGTTGCAAGCAAAGTATCCTTGAGGCAAGTCATCAGATACGTATGCACTCTAACCCAACAGAATAGAGTTATCTGAGTTCTTGGGATCAACTAACTACTACACCAAGCAAATCTATTGCTCAAAAAGAGAATAAAGCCCTTAAAACAGATGAGTTCAAACTACACATCCACCAACCCAGATTTAATTATGAGAGAGGAGTTGAATTCTTCATACTGCAATGAATTTTCTCACTCCATCAAGCTTTTCCCCTACTGGAAGTTACTTTAGATCCACAATATCAAGCAAATCTTCACCAGTGACAAGAGAAAATACTAGGCAAACACTCATGATCACACGAAGAAAAATCTCACAAGGCACTCTCAAACTAGGTGGCCTCGGATGACATGGAAGTGAGTTGAATGCTGTATGCCTCCTTGAGCTCAGCCAGCACTTCTGCTATCGTTGGTCTATGTGATGCATCCCTCTCCACACATCTTATAGCAACAGACGCAGCCTTTTTCATGCTTTCTGGATTGAAGGCTCCCTTTATGTTTTCATCCACAATCTCAAATGAATCAGCTTGCAAATAAGGCTTTGCCTGAAAGTCGCCAATGGAAAAAGGGGAGAAAAAAAAAAGAAGAGGATATCATAAGAGTCAATATAAACTACAAAAATCTAAAAATTTCCTGTTGCTTTTCCATTTCAAAATATGAAAGTGAAAAAAAAAATCAGAATCACAGATTTGCAGCTCTAGTGAAAATTAGATGAAGAAAAAAAAAAGTGTTATGAATTACTAAAGTGAACTTCAACTCCATGGGAATATGAATGAGGCGATACATAACGAATGATTAATGATGTTAACTGCCAAAGCTACAATTTTAAAATTAACTCAAATTTGTAGCACCGGCTACTCCATTGTTGTTTGATTAGATGTGTTCAGTAGCTTTTCTTTATTTTTTTTACTTTTTATATTTGAGGCAGAACATATGTTGTGATTAGCTTTGACCGGTGCAAAATTTGTGCATGCCTCTATTCATTTTTGTTTTCTTAGAACCGATGCACTACTTCCACATTCTACCTCTGCAATCAACATATGAACTTCATGAACCTGCAATATTTGTAGAAATTGATAATTATATTTATAGCTCGTCAAACTTTATGAGTTCATGGAATGAACCACCTAAAATTTTATTTGCGTTCGCATTATACTCATCCCATCCATAGTATCATATACTACTTCATGCTCATTTTTTAAAATCCAGAACATCCCATCTATAGTGGAAGGTCTTAGTAGACTGCCTTTTGGACATAATTCACTGAAGAACAGCATTTTCACACCTTCTCTACAAAGAATTTTCTACACATTCAACCTTGTTTTAGTACTATGTCAGTATCTGTTACTCAAATGGTTCCTTCTAAAAATCCAATTCAGCTATAACTCAACTTTATTACATTCTCATTAATAAATGGAGGTAGAATTTGCATCCATTGGCCATCACAAGATCTCGCATTAGTGGAAGTCTCAAGCAATAGATGTGTCCTTTTTAATCAGAAATCATTTCTAGCCTAGCAGACTACCACAAGTTATCAAATTCCCATCTACTAGTTATTTGATGTAATACATAGGCCATCCAAGATGCTCAAGTATTATCATTAAAATCCTTCTTGTAGCAGTTATTTATAAAACAAAAGTTACAATAACAACAAAGCCGTAAGTCCCAATCATATGGAGTCAACTACATGTATCTCTTGCCACCTTTGAGATAAGTAAAAAGCCATATGTTTAATTAAGTTTATAGTACTTAAATTCTATTAAAGTCTTTTTAGGCCTTCCTCTATCTCTTATTGTACCATTAACATTAATTATTTCATCTCTTCTAATTGTCGCATCCGGATATCTCCTTAACATATGCCCGTATCATTTTAAATAATTTTTCTTTTATCTTATCCTTTATCGAAACGATACCCAATTGTTCATGAATGTATGCACTTCTTTTTCTATCTTTCCTAGTAACTCACACATCCATCTCAATATTCTTATCTTAGTGATACAAATTTTTTGTATATGTTGTTTCTTAATTGTCCAACACTCGGATTCTATCAAGAAAAAATCCTTTATAAATATATTTATACAATAATTATTTTTTTTCTAATAACAACGTCATGTAAAACAAATGCAACTTCCCACTAGTATAACAATAAAAAAAAAGGTTCAAGATGATAACATGTAACTTTTTATATAAAATCATATCCAAAAGTAATATAGTCAATTATCACTGTAAACTTAAGCAAATTTATCTATCTAAGCTTAGTTAAATTACAAGAGTGAAGATAGAGTACCCATAACACCAAATTGTAAGTATCTGGAGGTCCAACATGACTTAAAGGTTCACGTCCACAAATCATTTCCAACAACACGACACCAAAGCTATAGACGTCACTTTTCTCAGTTAATTGCTGGGTGGCATAGTATCTGTGCAATAAACCAATTGTAAGGATTTCAATAGGAGTGAAAATGAAGTGCCAAGTCGGAGACTTACTCAGGATCTAGGTAACCAGCTGTGCCTTTGACAGCAGTAGTAACATGAGTGGCATCTACTTGAAGCACCTGCTTTGATAGCCCAAAGTCACTGACCTTCGCATTAATTTCTGCATCTAGAAGGATGTTGCTGCACTTTACATCACGATGAATTATTCGTGGATTGCTCCCATTGTGCAGATAATCCAATCCTTGGTCAAAAGAATGATGTGAAGATGAGGTTTATATAAATTTTTATGTCATACTCATTGGTTACAGTTTATAGGAACGCCACTATACCATGGAAACAGCACAATGATATCTAAAAGAGAAGAATATTTTGCAATAGTAGCATGGATTTATCAGATATTTTTCTTCCAAAATTAAATTCTGCTATCAAATTGTAAATCCTATGGTGCATAAACATGTGCAGGCATGCACATGCTATAATTTAAAGAGATAAGGTTTTGCAGCTAATATCTAGCATTGAAATAACTGGTTATAATTCAGCTATTCTTTGCTAATGTCTTTTGTGCTCTGCATTGTCATAACTTATAACTCTCCTGATAAAAGATGTAATATTTGCTGAGCTAATCAACATTGTTCAACTAATACACCAAAGTTTAAACAAAAATAGTAAGAATGACTATAACCAGTATTAATTTTGATAAGAAAATTAATCTCGGAATATCATGTTCAAGCACTCTGTGTATATATGCTTGAGAACAAAGAAAACATGTCATTACTCAAATTTCACTAATGTACAGTTCTAAATATCGGTTCATACTAATTCTGTTTAATATGAAACAATCTGAAAGGTGGGCTACACGAACGCAATATGTTAATCACTTTACTTTTGAATTAAATACAGAACTTAATACGCATAGTTTAATAGGAAAATCTACATTTTCAAAATAAATTACCAGAAATAAAGTTGATTAAGAAAAGAAGACCTTCCAAGAGTACATGCAGTATATTACATGAGTTATACTGTTTAGGACATAATGAAACAATCTGAAGGGTGGGCTACAGGAATGCAAAATATTAATAATTTTTACTTTTGAATTAACTACAGAACTTGATATGCATAGTTTAATAGGATAATCTTCATTTTCAAAATAAATATACAGAAATAAAGTTTATTAAGAAAAGTAGACCTACCAAGACTACATGCAGTATATTACATGAGTTATGCTGCCAACCAAAATCTTGTATAGAGCACATAATTCAACAAAGAAAAGCCAGCAAAGGAACAAGTCCTACCAAAGTTGCAAAGGCAAGGTGTGCTTGATGAGAAAAATCTTCTACAAGAAACTAGGACTGCAAAGTTCCCTTAGGTATATCCAAAACAAGCTAAGTTTTTATAACCAGAAAATGTGCTTAAATAAATAACCCAACATTATGTATACAGAAAATGTTCCACAAGTGAAAAAATATATTAAATCATTGGTTCCTCAAGTTCTTCAAAACAAAGTTATACCAAACAGGTCCATATTGATCCATGAGGGTTCAAACTTCAAACTAGTCAGGCACACACTAATATGGACCTTGGAGGAGTAAGTATTACTTGCACTTTTTTCCTGAAAAAAATGATCTAATGCACAGATTTTTTTGCTGCAAAAATATTACAAAAGCCAAAACCAGGTCTACTCATCAGAAGGTCGTTGCACGCCAAGAGTCAGTAAGCATCAACCACAAATGAGTCAACAGGCTTGTTATATGGCACCCTTATACTTGCTCATATGCCTCTTTAATTTTCTAATTCCTCACAAAATATTCCTACTTTACCTTCTTGTATTAATTGTAGACATGACTTAAAATACTGGTCAGACTAGTATGTATCCACCGATACTTACTGGTCCGACCAAACACTAGTTGTCAATTATGCAAGTCAGCACGGCTTGGTAATAGTTCATTTTAATTTCTTTTATTACTTTTTCCCATGATACGAGGAAGTATAAGCCAGTATCTTGCTTGGTGTCGTGGTACCCTAAGAGTCCAACTTGGTTATTGAAACTGGTATGAAATCTTTATTTAAAAACCTCGCATGCACATATAGAATCATATTATCGCAAGGACAAATAGTCCAACTTGCTAGATGTGTGACACACTAACCTACTGTTGGACCTTTTTTCCAATGGAGCAAAAGTTTGGTTGTACCTTCATGAATATTCCAAATGTGCCACTTATGCAATAAAAGTGGAGGAGAAAATGTATGTAAAATTATGTCAAACAAATAAGCAAAATAGTTTCCTTAAGGATACATAATTCAACAACACTTGGATTAAGAGATTCAATACCTTTTGCAGCATCCACAGCAATCTTCAACCTGCGGGCCCAATTTAAGGTTGCCCTTTTACTGTTTGAACCTGAAACATGATGAGATAAATTGAATAAAGTTATAACTGAAAAAAATCTACAGAATAAGATTTTGTAGGTTTTTCACCAACTAACATCACATTATACCATATAAATTATCAGCCAATGATCCACCAGGTAAGTACTCATAAACTAGGATTTGCTGCTTCGACTCATGACAAAATCCTTCTAATGAGACAAGGTTTTGATGCCGAACTTGAGATAAAAGATGCACCTGTAGATCCAGTGAATAAAATTTCTTGATTAAGCATGAAAATTGAAGTCCAAGAAATCATTTAGATACAGAAAAGAAAACTAAACAGATGGTGGTTTACTGTTGTGAATTACTAAGAAATGAAATGTGAACTTAGAATATAATAACACCAGTAGTTTGATCTCAATTCAACAGTATATAGAGATATCTATTTGAATAATAGGAAAATATCAACAAGACCTTAGTTGTACATTGTTAGGCTGATCTATATTAGGCTGTTTGAAATTAAAATGTTCTACAGGGCAACAGACCAACATAGTCCGCCTTTGATATGCATAATGACATATTCTACTTAGAATGTTCGATAGGAAAACAACAGTAGTTTACCACCAATAGGTGTAATTAAATATTCTTGATAGACAACACCAGTGCACTTGAACCCGAGACTCCTGCCAATTTGGGATTTGGGGAGTATCAATATACACAATCTTGCTCCTACAAGTAGAGATATTTCCAATGAATTCAAACCCTGATCACTTATATCATAAAGAAGCAACCTTATTGATGTACCAAGTACCAACTACCAAGATCCATCCTCTGACTTAAAAAGGCCTAATGAATTCTAAATGTGATTGGTAATTCATTGGAATGACTATGTAAGCATCTAAACAGTGTTCACGCAAACATGGATTAAAAACATCATGTGATACTCGATTAAAAAGGGAAAAACAATAATACGAACAAAAAAGAAAAAGACTCATAATTGATAGCAATAGGAGATTCTAAAGTGATCATGCTCAAGATTTTATGAATATTGACCTCATTGAAGAATGAATCAGCACCAAGCTGTGTTTTGTCAAGGCGTACTTTCACAGCTACTAGTTTTCCATCTGATAGCTTTCCAAGGTATACAGATCCAAATCCCCCACTGCCTATCACATCCCTGAAGTTGTTTGTTGCAGCCTTGATCTCTTTATATGAGAATATCCTTGCTGCACTCCATCGTTGCATCTCTCTTGCTGTATCTCAATTAAGATTGGCAAAACTTAATATCTTAATCATGTATGAAGACAACAAATTGAATATAACATGCATACATGTTCTAGATATCACATCGTCTTCTTTTCTCCGTCTCCTTTGCACAATCATAGCAAGTAAAATAAGCAATATTGCAAAGCATACACTTCCAATGGTGGCAATGGCAATTATTACTGTTTTGCGGTTGGAATGCAAAGGCCTCTCCATGTCAAAGACTGTCACTTGTGGAGTTGGAATGGAGGGGTGGTTCGAAAAGTTATTGCACATTGAAGAGAAGGAAAGGCACAAATTCCCTGATGTTCTGAAAGAGAGAAAGAACTTTAAAAAAATTCATTTTAATTCTTCAAATAACAGTATGAACTGTCATACCTAACTTCTAATCTTTCCTTTTTCAAAGACTGAGGTAGGACACCATGAAGCCTGTTGTTTTCCAAGTTCCTGCATAAATTGAACTTGAGATATATTGATTCAACAACAATAACAAGGGGAAAAAAGAGTTTACTTACAATAAGTGAAGGTAGTTTAAACTTCCCAAACCATCTGGTACTGCTCCCTCTAAACTATTGTTGTGCAAATCCCTTCAGAGAAAGACAAAGAAGGAGATCAACCAAGGTTACATTACCCTTTTGATTAAAACAAAAAATAGGTAAAACTTGTGCATGTTGAGTACAGACTAAAAGGATGAAAAATTCCCATTTGCACTTTTGCATGTACAAAATAGAAAAACATTTAACAATTAAGTAGAAGTTTACAAGTATGGGAACTATCATTAAGAAGACCTTTGTGTAAAAATGGCCTAAAATGGTCCAGCAAATCAGCTTCCAGGAAGAACTCCTGTGCATCTCTGAAGTAAGTATTTGGTAGAATAAACAAACTAAATGAAGAAAGAGTAATAGAAACATATATTATAATATATTGTATTGTCCAAAAACCAGAAATGTTGAAATTCATGTCACACAAATGGAATAATAGTTACTCCATAGACAGCTAGATGGAAATGACAGCCAATCCTTATAACATATGGCAATAGCAGAGAAAATGAGTTCCTCTTGAACCAAAAGCTTAGGAAATCTTGAGTCCCTTTCTAGGACTGCTGATCCTGCATGAGCAGAACGCCATCAGGTGGTTATGTGACGAAATCCTCAGCATTAGAAGAAACTTCATTAAAGAGCTCTTGATTCCTAGTTTTCCATACTTTCCAACACAGTAGGGAATGAAACAATCCAAGATTCTTAAACGAGAAGAAAAGCATACCCATAAGCAACAAGAGAAAGATGCACCATCGGCTACAAATTCATGAAGTGTCAAACTGATACAAGTTGAAATGGGCTGAAAAGGTTTAATTGAGTTTCCAAGCAGAAGGTTCAACTAAAGTACAAACCTTTTTTGAGCCATGCTTCTATCGCATTTGTTTCATGGCTCAAATCAGATGCCAATACTTCAAAAAAAAAAAAAGGACTAAAAGTATGTTTTCAAGCAATTGTTTCTCCCTACAAATTTCAGATCAATTTCTGGAGACATCTACTGCCACATATTGACAGATCTGATCTTATTCCTAGTCTAATATTTGATACAAGACTCGTGAGCCAAGACATAAACTCCTTTAACTGATGTACAACCAAAGCAGTGCAATATTCATGCCACTTTGACATTTCTGAAACAATCATGAATCAGTCAACATTCCAGCCACATAGGTTTAAGTAGCTTAAAGATCATACAGAGGTTCCTAAAAACCTCGAAGGGTCTCACCAATCTTAGGGAAAAATAATAATCAACAGCTGGAAAATATTATTTTAGCTTAAAATGGTATTTGAATAGCATGCAATCTATGCCATAGGAATACTAGTTAAGCTCAAGACATAATTCAGGTGGTGGCGTATTCTACTCGAAATGATCGCTTACGTGATCTATGATGTCTTCTAGATGAAAAGATTACCAAACTAACAATGTCCATAAAGTTACCTTCTCCAATCACATATGGTACAAAAAACTTACAGTATCTGAAGGCTGACCATGGTGTTGAAGTCAGAGCCAAATGAAGTTAGTTTGTTGAAGCTAAGGTTCCTGCAAACATGTTTCCTATATCATATTTTATATAATATAAAGATTAAAAGGCAGGAAATAGAACAAACAAAAATGTGTAGCTCAATCTGTAAGAAAAAAGAAATTACAAGATTTCCAGCTTCTGCAGGGTTCCCAAATTTGTAATTTCTCCAGCAATGGATGTGTTATGTAGATCTCTAGAATAATTTGTGACCAATTAGATAATAAAAGAGAAAAGAAAAGGACTGAAAATAGCAGGTTGATCAGTATGTTACAATATTTTAAGGTCAAGGAGATCCCCAAATGTTGGTGTGATTGCTCCCAAGTCCATATCAGAAAGCTTCCTGTACTCATCAGCAACAAGATTACAGATGAACAGGAAACTCAAGAAATTTCATAAGCTGGATATATAGATAACTCACAATGAAGTGACCAGGTTTCCGTCGCAGCCCACATGCATCCATGGTTTCGGAGAGCACGGATCATCTTCCCAACCAAAGTCGAAACCAGTCGATTGCCTAATTACCTGAAGCGCAGAAACTGCGCTGCAGAAGCTGGAATTACATCCTCCATTACACATTAGTGATATAAACATAACAATCAGGTGCTTTTGAAACCACCTGTGGTTGTGGAGCATTCCACGGGCACCTCCAAAACTTCATATATTTCAATTCCATTCACTTGAGGGTAGAAGCTGTTGTTCCGAAATGTGATGTTCAAGCTTTCAATCTTCTTCCCCATGAAGAAGATGGAACCAACTTTCCCATGTTCGACCGTATAATCCGAGTGGACCACGTCTCCATTGATCAAAACATCAAACGAAGACGAAACAGGCATGATTCCGGCGAAGTATAGGGCGACATAGTAGTCACCGAGCTTGTCAAGTGGGAAATTGTAAGTCAAAGCAGTCTTTCTTGCCAAAACCCTTGCGGTCTGGAGAACAGAAGCAGGGGGGTTCTCCTTAATGCCTGTGAGATCGAAGGAAACTGGAATGTGGAAGGCTGCCGCCAAATGGGATGGCGAGAAGCCCTCATCAGCATCCCACAGCCGGTCATGGTAATCGAGTGGATACCTGTTTGTCCATGAAACAGCAGAAATTGACCTGAAGAGCACAGGAGGCCTAATCGTGGGCAAGCAACAGGGATCACATAAAGCGCCATGGAATTACCTCAATGGTTCATCGTCGACGTAGCCACAATTTATCCTAAATCGCTTCCTCAATAGATTATCCCCAAATTCTTGCAATCGAGTTCCATAAGCACCCTCAGGAAGCGGGCGGACTTCCAGAGAAGAGATAACAGGGGAGCCGCCGCCAGCAACCGAGTGCAAACAGAACGGCAGAGCTGCACCCTTCTCCCTCCTCCACACGAACTCCTCCACCCACGGATCCGCTTGGCTGAGATTCACAAATCCGGCGATGGCCCTCCCGAGCGACACGGCGAACACCGGAGGCCGATGCATCCCATCGTAGTTCCCGTAAACGAACCGAGGCCTGACCAGAACGAGGGGCAGGTTGCCGACCGGCAGCCTGAAGCAGGCGCGGCTTCCCGGACCGGAGTCGGCGAAGAAACGCAACGGCAGCTGGGACGTGGAGCCACCCTGCACAAAGTTGGCCGCGGTGGCGTTGCCGGCGGTCACGTAGGGGCCGTCGGGAACCCATGAGATGTTGTTGCCGGAGTCGACGAAGCTCGTCGATCCTCCGCAAGAAAGGCTCAAGAAACCTGGTCTCGTACAGGCAAGGTATGAACTTGTCAGCATCAGCCAAGAAGGCATAGTAAGAGATGGAGTTGGAGCTCACCGGGGGGATCAGCAGAGGCCAACAAGACAGAGACAGAGAGGCCATGGACGAGGAGCAAAGCAAGTGAAGGGGAACAGCGAGTCACTGTCATCGCTCACCACCTTGAGCAAGTCGGCAGTCGACTATCGACAGGCATGGACGTACGAGTGAGAGGAGCGGGATATAAGAAGCAGGAGAAGAGTGGGATGCATTTCTTTCTTGCTTTTGGCTTGCTTTCCTTGAGGAGCAAGGGTTCAGGTGAGGGAGCGGAGAGAGGTGGTGGGCATAGCCGCCATGATGGCAAAGGAAGCAAGCAATCCATGCATGCGAGGAAAGGGGAGGACACGCGTGGTGGGAACGTGATAATATGAGGCGGAAGAGACGGTGGCGAGATTGGAGGAGAGAAAGAAAGGTTCAGGGAATTGCAAGAATTCTTCCAAATCATCCATCGATCGCTCAATCCATTTCATTTCTTATCTGACCAACATCATCATCATCACTGCAAACACCCCCTTTCGATCGAAATGACAATACCGATACCAACCCTCACACTAAGAACCATTAGACTGCAAACTCCTTACTATGAATGGCCCACTCCATTGATAGTGCTGTCACTTGAACTATGGTCTTCACCCTTAAACCCTCTGAAACTTCTCATCATCACCCTCTTCAATCCAGTATATGGTTCTGAGCTCCAGTGCTGCAGTAGTTGAGGTCCCGAATGGCCTCATCAATCTCCTCCTGCTTGTTCGTCACAAAGCCCCCAAGACCGACTATTGGCTCCCCTAGTGGCTTCCCGCCCACCAGCACAAAGCTCAGAGACTTCGCCGACCAGTTCCACACGCTGAGACCGTAAGGGTCGCCGAAGCCGGGGTGATGGACTTGGGCACCGGGGATGAGCGTGAAGTCCAGGTACAACGTTGGAGCTCCGGTGTGCACCGGGGAGCTCATGCTACTCGGACGTCGACTCCGTCTTTCTGCACCCTGCTGTTGTCTTTGCTGTCTATCTTCTGGCATCGAGGTTCCGTCCTTGTACATGTTCAGCACAAAGAGAAGATGAGAAGAAGGCGGAGAAGAGGGAGTAGTGAGGAAGGTGTTACAGTTTGTCTTCGAGGAGAGATTGATCGATCCACAGCGTGAGTCCAACGTTCCTCGCCTCTCCCATCGTTCCTCTTCCAGCAGACATCCACCGAGGAAGAAAACACAGCAGACATTTCGTCAAGCACAGAAGTGACATGGGCTAATGGCAGCCTGAGAGATTCGTACGTGCACGTCGCCGGCTCTCACAATGGATTTGTGCCCGGTGAAACCTTGGAGATGCCATGCATGTTGTATCCACATTTCACGTAAAGCTTTAATCCGATGAGTACACATATATAGCAGACTTAATAAAACTTAATTAGCATAATAAGTGATTGATGAGAGGTTGATTAATCTTACCATGTTAAGTATTTAAAGATATTTTGAATTAGAATATAAAGATGCAGTAACCTATTAGGTGATAGTGGATATTTAAAATATTAATTAATATATAGATGCAATAAAATATTATACACTATTATGTGTTCACTATTTGATAGTAAAGAAAAATATATATACCAAAATTATTATTATTATTTTTTGAGTTCAGTGTATATGGAGAAAAACCTTCTATGGAATTGAATTACTTCAATTCCATATTTCAGTAAGTAATCAAACTTATTCAAAAGTTCATGCTTTTCTATATTTCCTTGAAAAGGAGATAAAACTATCTATGCCATTTTAAATAAGGCAAATTACATATAAAAATAAATATAACAAATATTATTTATATCTAGAGCAAAAAAAAAAATCTAATATTAAATTTATAGAGTATTAGAAACAAAACAAATTAAACACGATACCATTAATATGTTAAATAATAAAATAATGTGTTTTATTAGAAATAATATACCATTATTTGCTATGAATAACATTTTTTTAGATAATATCGAGAGGCAGTGTAGAAAATAAGTTTTTGCGTGAAATAATATATTGCAAAAAGTTTAAATAACTATAGGCTTATTATTATTTTTAAGTTCCAATAATTACCGATATCCCTCTATATATATTTTCTATCACATAGGTGTTGTTATAGGTTTGACGTAAGCAGATCATCTCATGACATGTTATTGCTAGTGCTGCTGTTCTGAGACATCATCTCCACCAAGTCCATCTCCGGCTTCACGTCCTCGTATGACTGCGGTGTGGCGACGATGTCATCCCAGTACTCCATCTCCATCTCCAAGCTCTTGTCAACGCCTGGACCACAGCCGAGCTGGTCGAACAGGTGGCCGACATCGTACCCCTCAGCCGGGACCTTCTCCTCGTCCTGAAACAGCAGGCTGACCATGACGTCGCTGAAGTCGCAGGCAGGGACTAAGTGGTCGTCGCCGTCTCGGTAGGCATCTGCGGCCGTGCTGGGCTCCTCGGCGGGCATGGCGCTCACGGTGGATTTGGAGCTGTTGCCGGGCTTGCGCTTTCTTGTCGAGGGTGCGGGGCTGAGTGCCAGGCTTTTGATGTAGTTCTGCAGGAGCATGCCGGACTTGGGGTTCCTGGTGTTGCGGCACCGCCGTCTGGCGAACTGCCTTCGCTTGGTTGCATTCCAGTGGTTCTTGATGGAGTTCTCAGTCCTGCCCGGGAGCCTCTTGGCGATCTCAGCCCACTTGTTGCCGATTTCGGAGTGAGCTTGGATCAGTATCTTGTCCTCCTCCTCGCACCATGTATCCTTCTGCATGAAGGAAGAAATAGTGCATTTTTAGGCACTGATACAGATTATTCAGTAAAAAGGTCCCAACTAGATCATAATTAATCCTCATTTAACTTAGATATAAAATATATTTTCTTGATTTTTTTAGGTTGATCTCTTTCATAGTTAAAGCTATTTAAAAATATCATCACAAATAGATAAGCAAATTATGGCTTTTTTTTTCTGTTGCCAAATAAAAAGAGTTTAGACATTATATTAACCAAACCTCTTAATTAGGGTGTGTGTAGTAGTTCTGGTGGAATATGAGAGAGAGAAGAGAGCTCACAAATGTACTTAAAGTTGAGTACTAAATACTATACCATTTTAATGAAGTAAACCATAAAGATGGGGGTTACAATAGCAATTTATGCTTGTTTGACCCAAAAATTGATGTCATTCATCAACACATTAACTCACTCCACGTGAGAAAAATCCTTGTACTCTCCCTAGTTGGTAAAGCAACCTTAATTTACACTCATTAATTCATTATAAATTGAGTAGAATCCTAATACTGTTCCTATGTACTAAAGCAAACTTATTTTAATATATTTAATATATATGAACAGGGAATATCATCTTTTTTTTTCTTGAAAATAGCCTAGACCTCTTTGATGAAAAGAGTGAAGGTGATGAAATGTGTTGTTTTCATGACTAAACTATAAAAAGAGTAATATTAGTACAGCACCAAACCCATCCTCTACTTAATTTAATGTTTATAAAAAAATATTTTCAAATTACTATTCTACCAGAAGAATTGAAGTAACAATTTTGATTTATGAATTAAGTAATTTATATATAGATCATATATACAAAAAGGGAAAACAAGAAAGATACATAACACCACAAGTTTCTAATGATGCATGCTAGAACAACTGGGACAAAAAAAATGCAGATGGGTAGTGAAAACCTTGATGTTAGGCCTCAGATGGTTGTGCCATCTCTCTCTGCACTGCTTTCCTATTCTTCCATGTAACATCTGAGCAATGTGAGACCACTTTTTCAGTCCATACTGTTCCACTAGTCTTATCAACAACCTGCAAGAAATATCCATATTGAAATCTTTTACAAAAACAACGAGACATACTCTTTGAGAAAGAGAAAGGAGCAAAAAAGGAAGAAAGAATGCCTGCCTGTCTTCGTCGAGGGTCCATTGGCCTTTAACCACGTTGGTTTTCTTCTGTGCTTTACCACCATTTCTTCTTGCAGACATAGACTTCCTATTCATCTCGACTTCCATCTGAGGATGATGGTTGATGACACTGAGCTCGCTGGGGCATCTGCAAGCAATGGGAGGCTCAAACGTGTGAGCCATCGAAGCTATGCTAAGATTAGGCTGTGTGACATAGAATGGCAACACCACATCCTGGATGTCTTCAGTTGGGACCCTGGACTCTATGCTGTCAAATGGTGGAGACAACTTGTCAGGGAAGTAGCCATCAAAACCATAGGGGAAGCCATTAGCTACTTTGTCAAATGGATCAGCACAAGCTTCTGGCAAGAGTCCGTTGCTCATGTTGAATTTGAGGCTCCCAAAATCCATTGGAAAGAGAGAAAGAGAGCGAGGGAGAGATGTCTTCTAGGGCATGGATGGCATGTATCCAAAGGACAATGAGATTAAAACTCATGCAAACATTTGTATGTGGTGTAATTAGGGTGCAGTCAATAAAGGATGTTACCTTATCTGGAGAACAAGGGAATTAAGCTGCTTTAATAGCGTTGTTAATAGCACAAATTAGTTCATTAAGAAAGTTAGAAGACCGTGTTAATTAGTTGTCAGTTATCCAATTTACTCCAGAAAACATGAGAAACTGAGGGAGGATAGCTTTCATCTTGCTTGAGACGACATCAAAATATGCACAGAGTAGTCTCTTGATAAGCAAGATGACTAAATCCAAGCATTTACAACCCTAAAAGCAAAGAAATCAAGTAATATTCCCCCCCTTCTTGTGAAGTCCTTCAAATGACAATTCAATTGCTTTATTCTTTTCAGCAGCATCAACAAACATGAACACAGGAGAAAGTTAAAGCATCATCTACACATCTTTTTTCTTTAGGTAATAGGAAAATGTAAGATAATAAAACTTGATGGTAAGTGTCACACTCACAAAGAAAGACGAGTTCAAAAACAATATGACAATAACATCTGGTAATCTCAGCCAAAAAGTGATTAACTGTATCAGGCCAGCAACACTTCACTATACTTGCAAATTGTAACAAAGCTAATCAAAAGGTTTGGATAATCTCATGATAATCTATAAAAAGGAGAATTTGCCACAAAAACTTGCGATAGCTAGGATCAACACAGATAAGTGTCGTATGACAATTAAGCTAGACACGAGAAGGGGTCTTTACACAACAAAGGATAAATACACCAAACAAAGATTTACATCTGTGGTCTCTCAAATTAAATGAACAAATCACTTCCGGATATGAACAAATTCTGTAAGGATCATGTCTTAAAATTCAAGTCATAACATAATTAAGAATCTTTAGGTATATTTTTGGTCTACTAAATGCACTCAGAATATGAATGTATAATGTTATAGCTAGTGTTTTGCTATTTATGCACATGAAGGATTAAATATACTGAAACCATTATTAAATTTAAGCTCAAAATGGTCACTAATGTATATCAGAATTGGTTTTTAACCAAGGGTGGGGTCACATTGGATCCAATATTTTGTTGAAGAAAGTGAACCAAAGAAGTTCTATTATCCCACAATGGCCTAGTTTTTATACTGAATTATATTTGAACATTCAAGAGCCATTAGACTCCTTTCTGCATATACCAACACTTCAGAAGATTGAAAATATAAACAAGTATAATTTACATAATATGGGTAATTTCATTCAACATCTTTAATCAAATAAAACAAATGGAGTACCAACATAATTAAGAATCTTAAGGTATATTCTTGGTCTACTAAATGCACTCAGAATATGAATGTATAATGTTATAGCCGGTATTTTACTATTTATGCATATGAAGGATTTGTCGAAGAAAATGAACCAAAGAAGTTCTATTATCCCACAATGACCTAGTTTTTATACTGGATCATATTTAAGCATTCAAGAGCCATAAGACTCCTTTCTGAATATACCAACACTTCAAAAGAATGAAAATATAAACTAGTATCATTTACATAATATGGGCAATTTCATTCAACATCTTTTATCAAATAAAACAAATGGAGTACAAACAAAACAAATGCAAAACCATCTATTACCATCTTAGATCTTTTTTTTCCTATTTCTGCAATTATCCTTTCTGAGCTATCAGTTTATAAACAGACTTTCTTGTGGAAGATTATCCTTTTTCTCATAAAAATTGAAAGTGGAGCAAAATATATATATTTACTCATACCTGAAATCAAAACCAAGCACCCAATGTTTAAAGAAAACAAATTGAACTAAACCGAACTCTCCAGTTCAGTTTGATTTCTTAATTTTTCATGTTGGTTGCATAAACCTAAACCATTCCCTGGAATAAATAATCCAACTTCATGGTCTAACAATTGACCAAGACCACATACAATGTCTGATCCTCTCCAATCTAAATGAGTGACATAAATAATGTATTGGGAAGGTGAAACTTATTGAGAATAATAAGGACTACCCTGTTTCATTGTCTTGCAACCTTCCTCATTTCAAAGGCTGCATGTAACATTTCATTCCTCATAGAATCAAGGTTTGATGGACTTGTTCTTTCATCAACTAAATAAAAGGTTATGATCAGCATCTACAGATTTCATGGACCAAAATTGCTCCATAAGTTCAACTATCGTCCTTTTTTAAGTTGGATGCATCTGATTCTGCATAGCATTGGCATTCGTTTTTCACTACATGATGCTTAGGCTCGAGATAATGTCTTTAGCTAAGCAAATTATAACATATAACTCTTTCTGTTAAATTTCATATTTACTTGTAATTTCATTTAAATCAAGCCAGTGTACTAGATAATTTCAGTATATAAATGTGTGCATATCCACATGTGTAATATACCATTTTTTGAATTGATGTGTATCTGTAGCATAGGCACAAATCAGATAAAAGTTCTAAAATTTTAGAATCCAGGGTTTTTATTGGGCATGATTTCTGAATTAAAAGAATAAACCATCTTTTTCATCCACTGAAACAAATGTAAGTGATTATTTACAGAATGATACCCTCACCTATGATTGTTGTGCACTACTAGCCTCATGACAATGTACCTGCAGAAGATTTCCAGTACCTTGAACTTAAATATCTATGATTGTTGTGCACTACTAGCCTCATGACAATGTACCTGCAGAAGATTTCCAGTACCTTGAACTTAAATATCTTTGAAATATAACTTCAACTTATTTATCTCATACGAATTGCTTCCTATTATTACCGTGTCATATATATGCGCGCGCGCACACACACACACACATAAGTTTAATGATGCATAGTGCTTTCTTTTCCCAAAGTGATCGACATTCTACTTGATGTGACCCAATTTAGTCAGCTTTTCTTAGGCTGTCAAACCAAGTATATGGATAGACCAAATAGAACATTCCTCCGATTGTGAACTCTCCCAGAAGCTTCAAATCCAAGAAGACTGATTTAGAAGACTTTCCCTTGAGATCACCATTGCAAAAAGCATTTTGAACATCAAATGGTATTACTACCAGGAAACGTAAACTGCTAACAGTAAGATAACTCTTTTAGTTGATTTTGACAATAAGAACAATGGTTTCCTTATATTCCATAGTAGATCAATCATAATCCAAGCTGGCTTTATACCTCAGAAAGAAAAATCATGGTATAGATCTATCGAGTCCCAGGTCTTGATGAACAGAAAGAAAACAAGATAGCCCATAAAAAAGAAGTGGAAAATATATAAGCATAACAGTTATATAAAGAAACATGATGCTTTGTGCATGTAATCTTCCTAAGAGTAAATATCTACAAAGTAAGAGAATTATACTCCCTGATAGAGGATTGTGTAACCTAACTAATCTGGCAAATAAATATTAGGTTGTTCAGAAGAATTCATAACCTAAATCTGGCAACTCAGCATTATGCTAAGATACATACAGCATCATCATCACCAATCTTCTTCTGGAAGACTGGAACATGCTAGGAATTTCCACACTTTAGATGCAAGCACAACAGTACCAGTAGTATTTTCTGATGGATCACTTATAGCATTCTCATCTCTAGGCACATCTAGATTATGAACTAATGATGGTAATGAGACAACATGATGAAGAGAAGCTTGAAACCAGAGCTACCAATTGTTGTAGGAGAAGGAATGCATCCACAATCCTTCTCTCCTGAAAAGGACATGGAATTGAGGAAAAATCAAAACCCAATTAAAAAATTATGCCCTCAAAAGTTCTTGGATTAGGGTTAAGTGCCAGTATATACAAATGTAATTAACCATAATTGGCTATCTAAAGTTTGACTTTGCTACTATAAAATTATACTAAGAAATTGGACACTTACTTGATTCTCCATCATTTATTATGTGAATATTTTAATACCAGCCATGTTGTGCAGTCATATATACTCTAAAACAAAAACTGTGCAATTCCCTCATCATTATTTGGTGCTTTCAGCATGTTACTCTTTCTAAAAGATAATGCATATTTTATGAACTAAAGGCTCGTCACTCCAATTCTTGTAACACTGATCTCAAAGTTTTTATGCATACACAAGTCCAAGTTGTTTGCATTGTGTCATTATCATCAATAAATTGTCTCACAAGTAATCCATTTGTCTAGAAGTGCTAATTGATTCCTCCAGAACTCTCTATTTAGCTTTACAGAATCTCTTAAAAATCAGTTATATATTTTATTAATGAAATATGTTCTGTTATTTAGTACTGCATCAATGTGTGTTCATGTCATGCTCAAATCAGTGTTATGAACAGAATTTACATATTAACTACAGGGAACATGCTTGGCAACTTCAGTAGCAAATATTAAACATGTGGAGAACATTGACTAGCATGTAACTAGATGTGAAATTATCAATTCTTACAGTATCCTTCAGAGACATCAGATGTATTCATTAGCCACTATATCATAATACTTAAGAAATTGTGTATAAGGTAATACTTCTATTCTCATGATCAAAACATTTTTATGAATATACATTTCTTGCAGTTTTCATCTTGAAGTTACTACTCCAACGTACAAAAATAGGAAACCAAAACTAAGGTATAGATCACAAAGTTCATCCAAAACATGTTTGACATATGACATGTGTAAAGTTTATTAGAAATATTAACCAGTACAAGCATAAAATTCTAGATTGTCCAAAAAGAGTACAATCCAAAATAGTCTCATGGATTGTGAAGCTTGTATTTTTTGCAAAAATAAAGATTAGACACTTGTGTTCATGTGATTTGCATGCACAAAATATCTATGGATAAAAATAGGAAACCAAAACTAAGGTATAGATCACAAAGTTCATCCAAAACATGTTTGACATATGGCATGTGTAAAGTTTATTAGAAATATTAACCAGTACAAGCATAAAATTCTAGATTATCCAAAAAGAGTACAATCCAAAATAGTCTCATGGATTGTGAAGCTTGTATTTTTTGCAAAATAAAGATTAGACACTTGTGTTCATGTAATTTGCATGCACAAAATATCTGTGGACAAAAGTACACACCTCCATCCATCAGAAAGAAAATTTATAGAATTATAGGAAAAACTTGGAAAAAAAAGTATGCCTCAAATGAGGATGCTAAAGAAGCAATAATTAACATGAAGAAACATTTTGACCATTTAATCGGAGCAAAAAGTACTAGATAGCTAAAGCCAAAGTAGTGCAACAGCAGAAAGTCATATACACAACACCACGGATTAGAGAAGACAAATTCAGTTACCTAACGACACTAATAGAGGACTAGTACACATGCTATGAAGTGAGGATCCAAATAAGAAGTTTGGATCAGATGTAGATTATCCTTGATGTTTAATTACCTAAAAAGTAGACACGGTTTCTTATTAAGTTCGTATGCATCGGATATTTCCCAAGCTTCTTTCACCATTATCCATTATCCATTTCATTACATGACTTAGCTTCGATCTGAAAACAATAGATGGATCCTTGGCTCATATCC